AGGAAAGGAGGAGAGAGAGAGAAGTGAAAATAAGAAAAAATACTGCAGTCTACTGAAATTAAACACATGTAGGTTGAAGAAATGGTTTTCCATGTTCACCCTCTCTCAGTTGGCCAAGCACAGCTCCATGCCGCCCACCATGCCCCCACATGCTGCAGATGGGCATTTCTGAGAAGCAAGCTGAACATGAAGAACCACAGGGGTTTGACCTTCTCACAGATGCCTGAGCAGGAGCTGGAACAATGGAGTTGGCCAAGACTGCCCCTTGATGAACACAAACAAAAAGCATTTATCCCAGGTCTGAACCCTATGCATATTCCTCCCAGCCTGGGGGTGGTCTCAGGCTGAGCAGTGGCAGGGTGTACCTTACAAGATTCTTTTCTACAAGATGAGCCCCAAGAAATTCAACCAACTCCACATTAGACATTTTTTATTTTTCCTTCGTTTGGTGCTGAAGAAGAAATGAAAATGTGGGCATAGGTCAGTGATAAAGCACATCAGGCCTGGGCTCAAAAGGGGGGGTGGGGAGGGAAAGGAAAAGAAGGAAAGGAAGAAGAGAAGTAAAGAAATGTACTGAAGTGAAATGGAACCCAGAAGCTCTGGAATGGCCTTGCTGTTGTAATAAGAGACATTTTCCAAGCTGGCAAGCATTGCTTGATGGTCACATTCTATGCTAAGCTAGTTTGGTAGTCACTGCTACTCAGGAAGGCCCATTATGTGAGGGTTTCAGCCCCTGACAGGGGACAAAGGGACAATTTTGCTTGTCCCATTATCCTCAGCACTAGACAGTCAGTCATGTTTGCACTTTTTAGAAGTTAAGTATGTGATTCTCTTCCCAACCTCATGTTGAGTAGTGCCATTCTGGGAGCTTAAAATGGGTCTAGCCCACCTATTTTCAAATGGGCACCTATTTATGTCACAGAAATTGGCATCCACTGTAGATCAGTGTTTAGTGTGTTGGTTGCTGAACAGCCTAACTCTGGCCATTCTTCCCCTGGGCCTCCAAGAGTCAGCAAAGTGTAGGCTTTGTTCCTATATCTACCTCTCCCTGAATGCTCTACTTTCCATCTGACAAAGATAAAAGAAAGCCAAAATGTACTCCTCTGCTCAAAAACATAGGTGAGATTAATTTGTCCCCGCTAAGGGTTCTCAGGTGAGCTGCAGGTTCTATCTGTAATTTGTGGCAAGGGGTAAGAAGCAGAGCAAGGTTAGGGAATGGTGCCCCCTCCCATATAAGGAAAGTTCTTTCCTGCTCAGAATCTTGGGTTCCTGTCCCCCACGAAATACAGCCTTCTGAGCTCAGAATGGAGAAAGTAATGACAGGACCAATGAGGGTAGAGGTGGATACTTCAGGAAACTTTGGACAGGAGTGTGACTAGTATGGAAGCAGCTTGCTAATTTGTTTTAAATTATTTAGTTACAAAGGTGTAGGCTTTTTAACCTAAAGAACTATTTTAGCAAACATGGTGTGTGGTTTAGATATGAAGTGTTCCCCTAAAAAGTTTTTAGAGTGGGGTTCGAAGACAGTCCAGAAAGTCCATGTGACTCTATTTCCAATTAAGCAACAAGAAAAAAGAAATCACATAGTACATTAAAAACTATAACAACAACAACAACAACAAAGTTTATAGAGTAAGGACTTTGTCCCTGTAGCAAGCAGTGTTGAGAAGTGGGTATTGGGGAATTAATTGACTGGATCATGAGGGCTCTGATTTCATCATCAGGTTAATATACTAATTGGATGAAAATGTGCAGAATATGGGGGTGGGGGGGGAGAGTAAAACTGTGGAAGGTGGAAGCTACTTGGAGGCAGTAGGTCACAAAGGGAAGGGTTTATCTTGTATCTGACCTGTTCCTTTGTGCTGCTTTCTGCTTCCTGGCAACCATTAGGTGAGCAACCTTGCTGTACCATGGTCATATACCATGATGTGTGTATCTCACCGTGGTCCAGAAACAACAGAGCCAGTTAATCATGCACTGAAGCCTCTGAAGCTGACAGGAAGAATAAATCCTCCTCCCATCAATTGCTTTTCTCAGGAACTGTGTCACAGCAGAGATGGAACAGAAAAATGAGGTCACTGCAGTGAAAAACCTTGACAAATGTGGTTTTCATGAAGCCTTTGTAACTGGTTTGTGGAAGGAATTTGGAAAAGCCTGAAGAAATGGGCTAGAAAAATCTTAGTATGCCATAAGTAGAGTTTAATTGGCAACTAAATGGGAACTCTAAACACCAGAATGCTTAACAGGAATGCAGACAGTAAAAACTATTCAGGAAGTTTCAGATGGGAGCCAGGACTTAGGAAATGAAGTGGAAGCCACTCATATTAAATTCTAGCAAAAAAGTTATCTCCATTTTGTCCTTTTCCCAACACTTGTAGAATGATGAACTAACTTATTAAGCAAGGCCTTTCAAGGCAGCTCACCATTCTGGCTATTATATTGGTATAATGGTTTTGTCTCTCTCTTTCCACACTCCCCCTAAACAGATCTGCTCTACTACACTTCTCCCCCACGGATGTTCTGCCTCACAGCCTGAAGGCCCTGAAGCAATGTAGTCGGCTGAACATGTACTGTTCAGTTGAAACTTGAGCCAAAAATAAAGCTTTCCTTCTTTAAGTTGTTTTTCTCAAGAATCTCTCACAATAATGAAAAAGTCTATTGCACATGAATAGAAAAATATATATTGACTGTACTACCTTTGATTAAATACTGAAAATCAAATACAATTTAATCAGTGAAAAGTTAGAAAAATATGGGATGTTAAAACTGACAAGAACTATACTTATTAACATAAAAGTACACTTACAATAGTTAAGTGGAAAAAGTAGGCTAAGACAATAGGTAAAACTGTAAATATAAAGCCAGGCACTGGTGGCTCACGCCTGCAATCCTAGCTACTCAGGAGGCTGAGATCTGAGGATCACGGTTCAAAGCCAGCCCGGGCAGGAAAGTCGGTGAGACTCTTATCTCCAATAAACCACTAGAAAACTGGAAGTGGCGCTGTGGCTCAAGTGGTAGAGTACTCGCCTTGAACTGAAGAGCGCAGGGACAGTGCCCAAACCCAGAGTTCAAGCCCCACGACCGACCAAAAAAAAACAAAACTGTAAATATAATTGTGCTTGTACATATGTATGTCTTTATGTGTTATTCAGGGACTGGATTAATGATCCCACACCAATATATATGTCTGATCATATCTATCATCAAAATAATGTCAGCAGAGAAAACAGTTGGAATACAGATATTTGTTTGCAGAAAAGGAGAGAAGGAAGAGGGAAGGATGAGAGAAGGAGGGAGGGGAAGGAAGAGAGAGAGAAAGAGGAGACTTAACTTCATATATTAATTTTCCTACTAGAAGCATCAGTTACGCATGTGATAAAAATGCGTTTTGTGTTACAATACTTATAATCGCTACCTGTGCTGGGGATGTAGCTCAGTGATAGAGCTCAAGGCCTTGGGTTCCATCCACAGCAGCGCATATGTGCACCCACGCACCCACGCATATGCACACACACACATGCATGCACAACACACACACACACACACACACACACAACACACACACACACACACACAGAGCTGTCCTATACAAAAAGTCCAGATGGGCTAAAGTGAGTGAATAAGGGGGCACTCCTGTATGCGAGGCTTGGCAGGCCTGGCATTCACTTAAGGGAGAGACCTTAAGTCACTCCATCCCTGGCTGCCTGAGACCTAGATGCCCAAATGTGGCCTAAGAGCTCAAAACTGGAGGGCGGGTTAAGCCTAACTTGGGTCTTGTCTACTGACTAGACCCGATTGTGAGCTCTACTTCTATAAACACAGGGATCTCTATTCTAGCTTATCCTCACTTCTCTGGCAGTCTGCAGCTCACCCCAACCATGCAGCACTAATGGTATAGATGCATGCTTTTACCCCTCCAGCACCAGGGTTACCTTGGCCATGGAACCTAAGGGTACTGAGGTTCTTGAGGGTGGGGTTCTTAAGTCAGTTTTTAAGAAGTACCCTGAATATCCCTGAATTTCTGAATCTCCATTGCTTCTCCACTGCTATAAGCAAAGGAACAAAGGGATTAGGAACTTTAACAGAGGTTTTAATGAACTTCAAGTGACAAAACAAAGACAAAAATGTGCCATTTTTACAAAATGCTATTAAGAGGCAGGAGTTCATGCATCACTTATGCATTATTGTGAGAAGGCCAAACAGCAGAAACATACAGAAAGGATAAGAGAATCACAACACTTTAAAGAATTTGGTGAGAGGACAAATGATACAGAACGTTCAGTAGAAGTGACCGTTAGAAACAAGACTTTAACAGCATTGGTGACTACATTGAAGGAGACAGGAAAACCAGGTTTCTTATCCTTTCTTTTGGTATGTGAGGTAGGGAGCTGCCCAGCAGTGCTTGAAACAAGGCATTGATCAACAGTAGACAGTTTGAGTTATGGGTTTCATTCTGCAAACACTCCTGCTGCCTCAAAATCAGGGTGTCATTAGGGTGAGGTGGCCAGGGCACACTGATAGCTGTCACCATAAAACACTCAGTAGACACTTTGCTCATAGAAGCAAACTGTGTCCACGACTAGAATGGAAGCATAGCAAACCAGTGCAACCTGCAGACGTACTTCCTCACTCAAAATTGGAACTATACAATGTACAATAGCAAACAGCAGCTGCCCGCTGAGACAGTGTGAGCCCTAGACCCCACCCACATCCAGGCAAGGAGGCCAAATGTCATTTTCCATCCCCACCAAACTGCACGACCCACAAGCCTGCCTCTCTCATTCTGCTTCAGTGCAGTCCTGCTCCCCCTGCCTTGCCCTCTAAGGAAATGCTGCCTGAATTATACAGGGCCAGCTGTTTGACTAGGGGTTAAACTACAATGTCAGGGCATTGGGCCCCATGTGGGGTAAGGGAACCGGCACCATCTCATCTGCAGTTTACACAGGCGGTGGATGGGCGGGCAGCTAGTCAGGCAGGCGGTAGCCTGACAGAGCACTCACCTGCGCATGCACTCAAGGGCCTGTGTGAAGACCTGTGGGGCCATGCCGTGTTCATGCTGCAGGATCAGGCACTGTTCCAGTGTCACAGACATGGCTGTGCGGTCCTTAGCGCTCTTGCAGCTGGTGAACCGGACCCCATTAAGGCGGCGGCAGACCTGTCAACAGGAAACAAGATGTACTTAGGATGGCAGAGTCCACAGAAGGGCAGTACATTTCTATAGAGGGAGGCTCTCAAAGGCCTATCAGGGACATAGGCAGTAACTCACATTCAATCCTAGCCTGTCTCAGCTTTCTTCCAACTCCATGTTCTCCTAAGCTGGTATCAGAAAATAAGTCATTTACAAATAAGCGCCTCAATGGGCCAGGCTGTCCAAGGGTCCTGTCTCCATCCCTACCACTCTACCCTTCCTGTGTCTGAGCTACTACCTATACACTTTATTGCTGTTCTGCACTGATTCTTACCAGCTATCCCCATCCAAATCATACTAGAACCTTCCTGGGACACCCAGGATTTTGCTGTCAAGTCCCACTTGGGAGGCCAAGGCCACCTGAAGAATCCCCTGGTCCCTGGCCAGATCTCCATGCCATTGAAAAAGGACAGACCTGCTAGTCTCCACAGATTGGACCAGTTCAGAAAAGCTGCCTTCTGAGTACCAGGCCCCACAGGCCCTTCTCATTTTGCCCCACCTCCACACCTGTCAGGGCCCTGCATGGCTCATATAGGTGAGAACAGGGTAGCCCCAGACTACCCTGTAGCACACAGAGCAGCTCCTCTACACTCCTAGGTTACAGTCTCCAAATCCAGCAAGCTTTTGTCTAGGAAGGAATCTACAGTGCCAGGCTTCCATCCCAATGGGCCAGCAACCATCCCTGATCAGAAGGTCAGGACCGCCTACCTGTTAAATGAGGAGTTAGTCTTGACCGAAGGTATTCTAGCCATTTAGCCACGGACTCTTTGTTTATACTCAGAAATAAGAAGAAATAAGACCCTGAAAAGAAACTCTGTAAAATTTGGTATTTGAGTGGTGTGGCATTATTTTTCCCCCAATCATCCAACCCCAGGGATGTCCAGGGCTCAGTGGGCACTATGAAAATGGACACATCAAGAGTCCCCAGTAGCCTCATGAATCTATGCTTTGATACTTCAGTGCTCTACTGGGAACAAAGACAGACTGTCTTTCTGGCCTAGTGACAGGGGATGGTTAACAGCCCCTATATTTAATCTAATGTATGGTAATAGAGAAACAGAACCATGGTTCCCAAACAAAGCATTCCCAGGCCTCTGTATCTGCTCTCAGCTATAGAGCTATGTGTTTTTCCTAAAGAGAATAAATAAGGAAATACATGTCCCATGCTAGTGTCCAGGGGTCTGGCTGTTACATCTCTGGACTCTGAAGTTCACAAAGGCACTTGTTTTATGAAGATGTTACAACATGGCCAGTCCCCTCTTCTAAATGGAATAAAAGAATGTTAAAGGTACCCTCTGCACTGATGTGAATGTCCCACATCATCACATCTACTGGGCATAGCCTGAGCAAACACTAACAAATGAGCCCTATACCAAGAGAACCCCTGAACACTGAGGCTATGAAAGCTATGAGCTTCCAGAACTAATGCTACAAAAAAATAGCTCTATTGTAATTAAATGTCAAAGGTCAGGGCTAGTACTAGTGTCTCATATTTGCAATACTATTTACTCAGGAGACTGAGATCTGAGAATCTTGGTTTTAGACTAGCCTGGGAAGATGAATCTTCGAGACTCTATCCCCAATCAATCAAGCCAAAAAGCAAGAGTATTAGACCCTGAGTTCAATTCTCAGTACTGGTATGCATGTGCACTTGCACGTACACACACACACACACACACACACACACACACACACAGAGCACTGTCAAAGGACAGCTTGGCCAGAGAGGGGAGATCTTAACAATCATCTAATAACCTAGTTCATATTTTCCATTACACACACACACACACACACACACACACACACACACACACACAGCACTGTCAAAGGACAGCTTGGCCAGAGAGGGGAGATCTGAACAATCATCTAATAACCTAGTTCATATTTTCCATTAGTGTGTCTTGCAGCTCCAAGAAGATAATGAGATCATACACAAAAGAGAATGTCTACTCTTCAAAGCTTCATTCAATACAAGAGTAGGAGCAGTCATAGCCATCAATAATCTAGCTATATAACAGCCAAGAGCCTCATATAAAAAATACACCTAGAGCTAAAAAAACAATTAAACCCCCCAATTAAAAATCCTCAAAGAGACAAGCATTCCATTAATAAGTAGGCTAAAGAATTAAAGAGAGACTTCTCTGAAGAGGAAATAAGAATAGCCAATAGACACATGAAGAAATATTCGACATTTCTGGCCATAAAAGAAATGCAAATCAAAACAACATTGCGATTCTACCTCCCCCAAGTTAGAATGACCATTATCAAGAAAACAAATAATTAGTAGATGCTGGCAGGAATGTGTCCAAAAGGGAAAACTACTGCACTGTTGGTGGGAATGTAAACTGGTCAACTACTCTGGAAAGCAGTATGGAGGTTCCTCAAAATAATAAACGTAGAACTACCCTATGATCCAACATTGCACTCCTAGCATTTACCCAAATGAACACAAACAAGGCCATACTAAAGCTGCTAGCACAACTATGTTCACTGCAGTAATATTTACCATAGCTAAGATATGGAACCAACTAGATGCCCCCAGTAGATGAATGAATCAGGAAAATGTGGTATATGTACACAATGGAATTCTATGCTTCCATCAGAAAGAATGATACTGCCCCATTCATAAGGAAATGGAAAGACTTGGAAAAAATCATATTAAGTGAAATAAGCCAGACCAAAGAAACATAGGCTCCATGGCTTCCCTCATTTGTAATAATTAGTATATGTCTAGGATAGTTGTAGCAGAGGATTACAATAGCTCAATAGCTATGTACATATGACCATATAAAATGATGCTAACCAAAATGAACTCCAAGATATGGAAACAAGAGGCATTTTTTTGTTGTTTTTGTTGCTGTTGTTTTTAATGTACTGTGTGAAGTTATTCCCTTTTTTTCCCGCTTTTTCCCCCTTTGGTTTATCCCGTTGTCAGATTTTTATTTTGGTACCATGTGTCTTTTATATATATTTATCTGATTCGGGGAAGGGAAGGATGAGACAAAGGACAAAGGGTGAACCAATGCAACAGCGATACTCACAAGACACTATGTTGGAAATGAATTTAACAAATTGGAGGGGGGCACAGAGGGAGAGGGAAACTAGGAGAAAAATGAAGGATGGGATAACAATGTTCAACAAGAAATGTACTCATTACCTTACTTATATAACTGTAACCCTTTTTATACATCATCTTTACAATAAAATTAAATTAAGTTTAAAAAAAGAAAATGGCTGTTATGACAACAGAGTCTTGAGCTGAGGCCACGGCTCAAGTGAGAGAGCATTTGCATAGCAAGCAGGAAGCCCTGAGTTCAAACCCAGTATTTAAAAAAAAAAGAAAAAGAAAATAAAAGGGGGGGTAGGTCTCAAACATGTGGCCTAATAAGCATACAGTCTGGGAATGGCTGACAAGTACTAAGACCAGCTATAATCAGTAGTTACTAGGTCAGAAAAATAGTTTGCTGACAAGAAGGACCATGATATACACAGATGAGCTGTTCAGGGAAACTAAGTTGGGGCTGGTCTCTCATTGTGATGGAAAGAATCAGGCCAGCTCCTGCTTGTGCCTTACCTTCCCCATCCTCTGGTCTAGGCTGAGAACTGGATTGTCAGTGCCGGCCCCTTATAACCTCAAGTCCCAGTGCCAGGCAGAATATGCTGCTGTTGATATACCTGCACATTCAGGCCCAGAGCTTGGAATTCCATGAGTTTAAGTTGTGAGAAAATGTGTGCAGTGTTAAGTACTTGGGAAAGATAATCAGAGCAGAAATGTAGGATAAGGATGTTTAAAAGAGCTATAAAAGACTACCACAGTCTCCCTTGAACCTACTTAAAACTGCAGCAGGCAGCCAGACTTATCAACTGCATAGGCTTCAGAAGGTGACAATTACTATCAGCCTGGCTTGGAAATGCCCCAAGGACAGACTGTGTCAAGCTTATCAGAATCCAAGCAGTCTTAATGGATGAGCTCACAGGCAATATCTATGTCTTCCAGAGCCTCTCAACATATTCAGTAACTGTCTCATGTGTTCTGGTATAGAGAGCAATTTGTTCTTTCCACCCTGGCTCAGATTTTGATCTGTCCCTATTTTGTTACAATGGATGGTAGCAGACACACTGTAACCTCCCTCCCTCACTGTAACAAGTACCTCAGCAGCCTGCCACAGAATATCCACATTCTTATTCTTTCGGGCATGGACGTTCTGGCCTAGAAAGCGCAGTAGTTCAGGCAGGCAGGTCTGACTCCGAGATCGAGGTAGACCTAGAAAAGAGAGGGAGTGGGAGCTCACTCAAGGATGCCACAGCAAGGAGACAGACAGGTATTCATGGAGTGGATATGATTACTAAGCATGGTGAGTCCTGCATTTCCTTTACTGACACCTTCAAAGGGAAAGTTACTTCATCTTTCTGCAAACCCAAAGGGCTAGATAGCAGACACCTAAGGAACTTCTTTCTTGTGCTTCTAAAAGAGGCAGTTAGGAGGGAGGGAGGGAGGAAGAGGGAGAATCTGTCTCCAAAACCACCAAGGATTTCAGGATAGCTTATGTAGTGAGTACTGACCACTAAGTGGACCTGAAAACCTGGAGAATGCAAATCTGAAAATTACAGCCTCCTTCAGGGGAACCTTAAGCCATAACTGGAGGGACTTATTTTAGAATGGCTCCGAGAGAGCTCTTTGCTCTTTCTAATAGCGTTCCTCTTCAACTCTGGCAGTCTTTCATCCATTTCAGAATTTCCTGGACTCTGAAATAAGTCTGTAAGATCACCTTACCTAAAAAACCTAAGACTAGGGCTAGAAAGGTAGCTTAGTGGCAGAGTGCTTGCTTAGCATTCATGAAGCCCTGGGTTTGATTCCTCAGCATTACATAAACAAAAAAGCCAGAAGTGGCGCTGTAGCTCAAGTGGTCGAGTTCTAGCCTTGAGCAAAAGAAGTTCAGGACAGTGCCCAGGCCCTAAGTTCAAGCTCCAGGACTGGCAAAAAGAAAAGAAACCTGAGACTGAAACCTGAGACTAAATTGAGAAAAAAAGAATCAACCATTCCCAATGAACCATTCAATCAATCAAGCACTCTAGGGATAACCACATATTGAGTTACTAAAATATAAGAGATGACTTGACCCTCAAGGCCAGAGCTAAGGAAAATAGTGCCTGGGGCCTCAAATTAAATCTAATACATGGACTATCTAACCACATACAGCTTCCAGCCTACAAATTCACTCTGGTATATACAGGATCCTTCACGAAATACTTCATGCTCCTATCTGTAAAGTGCATCAGTATATGGGAGCCCAGAGGAGGAGAGCTTAAGGTAGGTAGATCAGGACATTCACCCTCAGGAGGAGAAAGCAACCACAACTGTCACCTCTATCTGACCTCTATAGCCTTCATTTTACTGGAAACCTGCCCCTGAGGATACATGGAGGAAATGGGGAGTATTCAGGTGAGTAAGCGCCATCTTCTCAGTCTCACAGACCAGCAATTCACTCTCAGAAATAAAGATTATCTGGGTCACCCCTGCAGCTTCCTGGCTTTAACTTCTATAAGCCTCACCCTTCCCTGGCCTTCATCCTCAGACTACCTTAACTTCTGGGACCTCAGCAACACTGGAAACTGCTCAAGTCCAAAGTGTTGGACACAGAAAGAATCTACTCCCTAAAGCATCCTTCACTGCTCCCACCTGCATTACATCCTCAATGTGTCCCTGGTCCCTCTCCTGTGCTCACTTTCAGATCCTGTAGTCCACAGCCTGTCACATTCCCTTATAGTACCCAGAATGAGGTGTGCCAGGCTTGATGTGGCTTCTTGGGAGATCCACCAAGTTGGCCTAAGTGTCTTAATCTTCCAAATGTGTGTGTGAGATCAGTGCTCACCTTAAAGGGCTGCAGTGGGAATCAGATCCTGGCACGGGGCAAGGGCATGACAAATCTGTTGTTCCTACTAAATGGTACTGAAAAATACAAGGATGCCTCTGTGACTGCATCACAGATAACCTGCAGCTGAGTCTTTGTAGGGTCTTTTTTACCTTGGTCACAGCACCTCAGGATTATCTGGGGTGGGCTGGAGGTGTTCTGAGATCTTGCCAGACATCTTGTACCCATCATACTTGGGCCAAGACTCAGGAATCAGGTAGCCAGGTTCTCCCAGGCACTCTGGTATACCCAGAGCTGAGCAACTGGGCCCTGATAATTCTAATCACACTCATGCTACATCTTACTCTGCTCAAGGCTCTGGCTCTGTGTGTATCTCCCTCACATCAGTATAAAAGAATTCCTGTTTTACTGGGGACTGAGGGCATCAAGCTAGAGCTCTGACTCCTACCTCCCCTTTCCTCTTTACTAGGTCATCTCCAACTGGCCTCTCCAGGACCCTCGTCTGTTCTCTTCACACATCTTCTTGCTCCTCTTCCTCAGACCTTAAGCAGACTGATGTCAACCATAGAGATGGTGTGTTTCTAAGCTCTCCTAGCCCTGTCCCTCTAGTCACTACCCATATTTGTGTCAGAAGAGTCCATTCCAAATAGCCCATTATTACTGTGATTTTGCTGAGAAATCACTATACAGAGGCCAACCTGTACTTGGATATTCTCAAGGGTTCTGCCCTCCTTCTGTGGCCTTTCAGCAGAATCTCTTCCATATTATGTCCTAAGCCTTTTTCCTGTCATGTCACATACTTGGAACCTCTACATCTGTATATCCAACAGGCCATTTACATCTGGAGCTCAAGCTATATTGGTCTGTCAGCTCCTTTGCTTTTAGCAGGAACACCAATCTGCTACCACCAACTATGGCAACCTCTTTTAGTATCAGGTCCTTTAGTGTCCCTCACTTTCAAGCACTGGCTTTAGGGACCAACTCGAAGCTGATTCTCAGTCAGAGCCTTTCTGAATATCTTCTCCCCCATCCACGCTATGTCACTATCAGTTAAAAGAGTCAAAGAAGGAAATTCCCATTCCTCCCCAGGAAAGCTTCCTCACTCTTCAGAGCCAGGCATGCTTTCTTCATTTGGACACAGGCACTAAAACTAATGGTTATTGTGGGACTGACAACAATGAGTATGGAAAATGTTCAGGGCACTTAGCCCAGCCCCTGGCTCAACAGCAACCTGAAAATGTTCACTTTACTTCTGTGCTCTCAGCTCTAAACCCTTAAAATCTGCTGCACTTTCCAACAGTATGTAAAGGAAGCCTGCCCACATCTTCCCAGCCCACGTTCTCTTCCTTCTTTGGGTCCCCTTTAGAAGATTTCATTTTAGCTCTGTAACAGGAGTGATTACTTTAGCTCCTGTGTGATTCTTCTAGTGGCAGGAGCTAGCTCTCACCACACTTGAACCTACTGGATTTCCTAAACTGAATTCTGGAGACTTGAACATCATCCCTGGGTTCTTCCCTGAGTTCTGAGGCTGCCAGTAGTGTCTTTACTAAAGAGGGAATCTGTGAGAAATCACAGATATGACAGAATTCTGTCTGCCTCTAGGTGATACCCTGACAGGGACCACACTGACCTCTCAGACAGTAAGAAATATCTTCTCAGCATCTTACTCTTTAAGTGCCATGGAAGTAAGTTCATGGAGAACTCACAGAAGCTTGGGCTTGGCTCTAAATGTACTAGTGAGTGGAAGTGCCTACAATAGTATAGGGGAACCCCCCCATCATGTACAGTGGAAGATAATTGATACAGGAGACAACCAGAGGCTGCAGCACCAGGGAAGAATTCTGGGCATAATTCAAATGAGGCAGTGCTTGACAAGATGAATGGACTGTTGGGCATGTGTATGTGAGAAACAGGGAAGGAACAGCTGAAACACATGAACATACGCACATATATACATGAACATCCATGGCAGCAAGGCAAGCTAGGCAGCATCTGGAAGGTCAATAAGCAGGCAGCTTCTCTCCAAGATTCAAAGTGAAAAATAGGCTGGTGGAAACCACTATGAGAAAAGGAATACTTACAATCCTCCGGCAACACTTCCTTAAACTGTTCAAAGTAGGAATTTAGTCGCACCAAACTCTCCACATTGATGACTTCTTGTAAAGACGTATCACCAAACCTTTGGGCATTAAGGGGATATCATTAGCTGGCTCATATCACTTCCTTCTAACACACTCCAACAGAGCTAACAAAATGAATATGCTCAAATATTTATTGTGAATGTCTAAATCATAGGCCACTTTCATACTCCTGAGCTTGAAGTCATCTTTACAGTGTTGGTAACAGCTTAAATATATTTCATGGGCAGAAACCATGTATAAGTTGTTAGAGATGTAACTAAGAAATGATCAGAATATGATCTGTACCTGTTATATTATATTTGGATATGAAGTTTGCACAACAAACTTCTTGTGTGTTAAAGGTTGGTTGCCACTGGTAGTGCTATTAACTAATGAGAAGGAACTAACTTCATTAATCCAAGATATGGCCAGGTAGGTAGGGCTTAGTTGGAGGAAATAGATCCTTGGTGGCTTGCCTCTGAAAAGCAGACCTTCTTCCCAGGCCGTTCTTCTTGCTCTTTTTCTGCCTCCTGTCTACCTTAAAGTAAGTCCCTTTACCTCATACACTCTGCCATGGTATTCTGCCTCACTCATCCACAGGCCCCAAAGCCAAGGAGTCAAGTGACCATGGACTGAAACTTCTGACACTGTGAGCTAAAATAACTTCTCTGAGTTGTTTTCTTAGACATTCTGTCACAGTGACAGAAAGTGACTAACGTAGTACCAGACCCAGAACCTGAAAGATCTGCCTTGTGTGGCATAGAAACTCCTATCTATAGCCACAATGGTCACACTCCCCATGTCTTGCAGCCTCAGAAGGACTTAGGAGAGGGATAAAGTTAATGTAATGTGCTTGGGGAGTGAAAACAGCCCTGAACTGGCATTGGAAGATCTTCTGGGAATACCCTGACTATCACCCTAACTATTCCTCTGGAATGCCCAGACACTCATTGTTTCCTCTGCATACAGGTGTGCCCTGTGTACACTAGCATGTTGCAAGTGCCTTTAAACCAAATACTCATAGGAAGAGGCAGTGGATGCCACTTGCAAGGAAGGCACAAGGTAGTCATTTAAAAAATGTAGGCTATGAAGCCTAAGAACTAGCTCTCTAGTCCAGCCTACAACTTCCCTGTTTCATAACCTGCCTAAGTTTCAGTCTCTTTATGAGACATCCCTCAAAAGGTACCCAGATGACCTCTCATGGATCATAGCCCATCCACCCTAGTGCCCATGATGACTTGTCTTTAGTTGGCTATTCCCTCAGGACTTGGCCCTGTCCCTGGGCCTACAGCCTTCATTCTCTGTGCAATCTCCCCAAAGCTCAGAAACCCAATGCACTAGTGTAATGGAACAAACAAACAAAACCAAGACCCTATACTCTTCAACTCTTCTTCTTCCAGTTCTCTCCTCCACCACCCTCCCTTCTGCTCAACATAGCTGCCTTGCCTCAATCCTTCCCAGAAACAGCTCAATATCTGCCAGATGCAGGGAAGGTCATTTTATCTCCCAGGGCATCTTTAGTGGTGACTCCCATAAGAAGGCCACTCTCCTAGTGATGAGCTTTTCAACTCTGCTCCCGCCTCAGAGGACTCTGTTTCCTGGCATGGCTTCTCAGCCTGAGCCCAGCTCACCATCTGCCCTAAAAATGAGACATCTTCCCTCCTCCCCCCCATCAAGGATTGGAGTTCAACAGGGCACTGATTCACCTGACTTGAAGCCTGGGGCCACAGTCTACTCTCCTCACAAATAAAGACCAAATCTTCCCAATAATACTTAAACACTGTTCTCCTGTTGGTCCTTTCTCAGAATTCCTAAACCAACCTCTATATCATCCAATCCAGGGTGCCTGTGGCCTAATCTGTCTAGCAACCCTCTCACATGTATCTCTAGCAAATCCTGCTGACTCATAGCCAGCAAAGTGACCTATTTAACATGTAAACATCACTGTGCCCCAGCCTACTAACAGTTCCTCATTGGAACTGGAAATGTGCTCCTGTGACCACAGGGTATTTCCTAAGTTGAGGTGAACCCATATCCAGGGATCCATGCACACTGATCACTGATCACACCAGTTACAGAGGTCCCAGAAGGGTAGCACATACCTCTCAGCCAGTGTCTGTTGCTCATTGATGCCTACATTAAAGAGGACTGGCTGCACTCGAAGCAACATGCCACTCTGGATTTCCCGGGGCAAGGTATCAAAGAGTGGGCCTGGCAAAGGGATCCGCACATTAAACCCATCACTGAAAGAAAGCCAAGGGAGGATGAACAGAGGTGAGGAGTTGAGACCCAGATACTAGAAAGGCAATCAGGAACCCCGAGCAGGGTTCAGTCTGAGTCCCTGGGGTAGCCTCTGGCTTAGTGACATCCAAACCCCAAGCAAGAACTTTAAAAGGAGGTGATATTAACACAAGGGGCTATAACCTTCATTTTTAACAGGACCAAACGGAAGAAAAGGAAAGGAACATGCAGCTCAAAAGATTAACATAAGTGAAAACACTTCTCTGGCTGACTGGAAAATTTAAATAAATCTTTCTACCGGTTTCCTGTGATGACAGGCAGCATGTCAGTTGATGCATTGGAAGTGGCCTGTGTGACTTTAAAGGTCACATTCCTCAAGTCCATGATTCCGAGGCTCATGTCCTCCAGCATCGCCAGCTCCTCTCCTGGATGTAAGAGAGAGAAGAAGGCTGTCAGGCAGAAGCCTTCTATTCTTCTGAGGGACAGCACAGAGAAAATGGCTGAGGTGTAAGACAGAGGACTAAGCCCCTTCCTCTGTGGCTCACTACTGTCTGAATGAACTCTGACACTGACTTTTCCCCTCCATGCTGCATTACAAATGCAGCTGGTAGAAACAGGTACCCTTCTCAAGCCTTCCATGGTCAAGCTCAGGACTGTGGGGAGGGACAGGAAAATGCATGGAGCTCAGAAGACAATACCCACAATTTGAGAATGAGAAGAGAAGCAATATATAACTTTGCTGTGGCCACATGGCAAAGGATATCTATTCAATAAGTATATCCCATAACTCCATGATTAGCAAGTACTTTTTAAAAATTATCCATTTTTACCTTTTTAGAAGGAATAATAGGAAACAAGGCCAGGGAAAAGAAAGGATCTTTCAAGACCAATTTGGAAATAGATAATAAATTTTAACACATTCCTACTCTTTGACCTAGTAACTCTTAGTAATTACTGGCTGAGGAATGGGTTTGTATGCACCTTCTGTGAACAGGTGTCACTGCACAAAAAGTTTAGTAGGAACAATTCATAAACAAGTGCCTGGTTAAATAATCACCATCTATCCTCAACTAGGAAGATCTTTAAGATATAAAACAAAGATCAACAGCACCATAAAGCTAGGAGAGTTTCATCGGTTCTTTGTCACATATTCTCATGAAATTTAGATTCATTTTAATATCTGAGAAGAGTAGAAATCACAAATGAAACTGCCACTGTGACCCCAAGTCTTGGAAAGCCCAGATGTATGCAGTCACTCAAGTCTCACCATAGGTGCTTAGGAGGCTTTCAAACTGGGCCAGTAGTCCAATGGTGTAGAGCTGCCGCAGGAAGCCATCATCATGCAGGCAGTTCCTTAGCTTGATGATGAAGCCACAGATGAGAGCAGTCAGCTGTGGAAGACATAGGGTGTGGGGTATAGACACCAGCTTCCCAAGCCCTGGGACTTGAATTTGTCTGCTTCACTGCTCAAAGGGATGTCAGTAGCATTTCATCCCCGGGGGGATAGAAGGTGGAGAGAAATGGAGTACTGGAGAGCTAGAGATGTCTTGGCTCTCGAGTCATATTGGACAAAGGACATTGAGATAATGTGAAATACTTTGGGCTTGCTTGTGCCTGTAACTCCTAAGGTGAGCCTGGTTTTAACCCAGCCTTTGTCCTGAACTGCCTGGGATTTTTCCTAGGTTGGAAACTTCTAGAAGCCCAGAATCAATACCAAAAGAGTCTGTCTATTTATAGACCCACATCATCTAAGAATAGGCATAAGAGATAGCACAGTCCCTCAGCTCTAAATGGGAGGTTTCCTATGGGATGAAAGGCCTCCTAGCATGAGCAGGGACTGCACAGCACCAGCCTACCAACATGACTGCACATTACTAATGTATAACTGGCATCTTTTAACTTATAACATTTATTTCAACTCTCATCTCACTGAAAGATAACTGATATCATTAAAGCAGAATTTTTCAAAAAGCCACAAGAATTAAGTACTTACTGTTTTATTAATGAGAAAGCAGGCCATAAATAGCAAGCACCTATATTGCTCCCATTAGATTCCTTCCCAGGGGAAAAAAAAGACAGCAGAGTCCTATACCTTCCACCACCACCCTGTGTAAAGCCTACCCATCATTGCCAGCTCTTCAGGAGAAACCAACACTTATCAATGGAGTAGTGTCTATCCAGTGTTGAAAGCTAGCCTCTCTATTAAATACACTGAAAACCAATAGGAAGACAACACTATCTGCGTTTTTCACAAATGAAGGAGATGGAAAGGGCCTTCTGAGGGTGTTATTTTCTGAGGGCCACCCTCTTGGCCCAGCCCGGCTTACGGTTTGGCAGAAGACTACGTCGCGGCGGTACTGCAGGCTCAGGTAAGAAGCTATGGTGGGGGCACTGTCCTGCATGAGCAGGAAGACCATGGCCTTCTTGGCCTTGTCACTCATCATGGACACGCAGTCTGTGAGGGTAGTCAGCAGGGGGTATAGGGCTTCACTCCATTCACCTGGGCACAAATAAAGGAGTTATGATTAGAAAGGAAGATCTTATAGATTAGGTCTGTAAGTTAGTACATTCATCCCCTAACCATTGTCCCATCTTCCTATCCCTTACCCCCAACACTTCTACATCTTCTGACCCTGTTTGGACCACCCTCTATCCTGGGACTAGAACCAAGTTTGGCCAGACACCAGTCCTGACTCTAGCCCTGTAGCCAGTAGCCTTTCTAGTAACTTCAAGCAGTTTAAAGCTACCAACTCATGCCTGGTCTCCTGAAACCATTGGGGACCACCTGCTCAATACCCAAGACTGTTGTCTGAGGAACAACGAAAACCTTCTTCATATCATGATGACCCCAAAAAGCACCATAGGTTCCTCAGCCTGAATAGCTATCTGTTATCTCACTTTTCCTGTCTCTGTCCTTGTCCTTCCAGAGTAAAGTACTAACTCTGCCTCTGTTGGCCTTATATGCATCTGGTTCGATTCTCATGTTCCCCACAGCTCTCCTGACTCTCCTACACTCACTTTTTTCATCACCTCTCTGCCTGATACCAATTATTTTGAGCTTAGTTTTCCTTTAGAAATATGAGAAACCTTTGACCCTTTACCAAAACAATATTTTTAAAAATAGAATCTTGAGGGAGAAAACAGGGTGAGGGTATCTTTGGTTTTGGCTCTATTCTCATTCCTATTTGGAAGACATTTAAAAAAGAAAACATGCTCTCATCCATTATATTTTTAACAAGTCATTAAGCCCAAAAATAGGCATTTGCTCATCCTCACTTGGCGAACCCACCACTCCAAACATGGCTTGAAGCAATGGAGTGATGCCTGACAGGTTGAAGTGCAAGTCACAGAGGTTCCTTACACCATGCCCTGGACTACGAAAGGGTGAACCCTGTCTTTGATACACAGAGTATAAAAAAATGACAAGGAAGGAGACTTGGCTTAGCTTTCTCAAACCATCAGCACTTCATTGGGAAGTAAACTCAAAGAAATACCTGGCATCTGTAAAGGACCTGTTTGGTTAGTGGGAATTAAGTACAGGTAACAGGTCTAAGGTTGGAAATGATCTAACTGGATATGGAGGTATATTCCATGTGAATAAGAGTTTATATCTGTAATGAAAAAGTGCATGCTAAATTTAGAAAGACTATAGTAAAAGATCTTAGTAAAGTAAGTCAGGAGACATAAAACACTGGACTGAAAAATGGAAAATTTGAGTCCTATGCCCAACCAACCACTGAGCAGTACTGGACATAGCCACATGGAGCCTTTTCAGGGAAAGGAGACCGTCAAGCCTCTTTCTCCCCTAGAATTCTCAGAAAACAAGTTTTCTGGTGGGTTTTTTTTTTCCTTTGAAGAAGTCTGTTGAATGCAAGACAATTGTAGCAAATAGAAATTAGGTTTTACTAGCCAAATCATTCAGGGAAGAATAACAGTTTTAGGGAAGAGTAGTCATTAAAAATCTTTTTAGTGAAGAGAAGTCACTAAAACTTCTCTTCAGTAAGGAGTAAACATGAATAGAGAAAATGCTGCCAATTTTACATTATTTTCAAATCATCCATATACAATTAATATTCAAATCATGATCACTTTAACTGGTAAATGATGAGGTTACATAAGTGGTGTTATTTGACAAAGTAAAGATCTCTAGAAACAACTTGTTTTATTTATTTTATTTTGTTTTACAGACAAGATCTTGGTGATAGCCCAGGATGGCCTCAGCCTTCTGAATGCTGGGTTTACATGTATGCATCATGGCAACCAGCTTCAATATGCAAGTTTTTTCAATTTGTCTACTTCTCTTTAAACTAAATTCATGTGAGAATGACTCTCTTGCCAAGTTAGAAAAAGTTGGAGTATAGGAAGAATGTTTAAAAAGCACCAGGACAATTGTCTTGGTCAGCATGAACTTGTTGAGTGTGACATTTGCCCAGAGAAGCATCCAAAAAGGGCATCAAGCAATGCTTATCAATACCTACCTGCACTTTACTTTCTGTCTTCTTATTAAGCAAGAGAGTGCTTAATTAAGAAGAAGAAATGGGCTCAGAGAGACTAAATGTCAATCCCAGATTCAGAAAAGAACTGGCATTTTTACAATGATTGAATCTATACATTATGTTATTTCTAGTGGTTAGCTTGCTTGTGTTAGGGAAAGAAGAGGAGTTAAAAGATAGTATGTGTTTTCAATATGGAGGAACTTACAACTTAAAAAGTGTATTTCAGGGGCACTACCACCACAAAGGTCCTACTCAAGTAAAGGCCCCTGGGATACTGGAGTTAGTGAAGGTTTACAATCTGATTCCTTCAGTGAGAAAGTCTTGTTATTCAAAAACATCCATTCAACTAAGCAATGATCCATTACACAGCTGATCTACTTGAGGGAATCAGCTTACCCAATTGTTAACCTATCATATTCATGGACTGATTGTCCATCCAATGATTGTATCACTAAAGATAACTTTAAGGGGCTGGGAAGGTGGCTCAGTGGTAGAGCGCTTGCCTTGCATGCATGAGGCCCTGGGTTCGATTCCTCAGCACCACATAAGCAAAAAGAAAAAAGCAGGAAGTGGCGCTGTGGCTCAAGCGGTAGAGCGCTAGTCTTGAGCTGAAGAGCTGAGGGACAGTGCCCAGCCCCAGAGCTCAGGCCCCACAACCGGACCCCCCCCCCAAAAAAGATAACTTTAAAAGAGTCTTTCAAATAAATCCATATTCTGCATTTGCATTTTTCATTAATAGGGGAGGGAGGGAGTCAGGGAGACAGGGTGTGTTTGTGTGTCTTATGTTAGATTATATATTGTTCTACAAAAGCTTATGGCAAGGGACCTAATCAATGTATTTCATATCAACTGTAGGAAAGCCACTAGTGACTCTGGAAATGACACTACTGACAAAACCAGGATAGTTATATGAGCCAGAGATAGTCTGTATGCTGACAAATCCTTAGGGCAGAAAAGAACTGAGATTCTGAGGGCAGGCTCATGGGCCCTTCCCCAGTCCTCACTGCTGGATGTGGCATGCCAGACACTTCTATATGGGGCTAAGTAAAGTCACCTCTGTCTGAAGGCTCTAGCCTTCTGCCTGATGTGTAGGTATGCTGAGGGGAACCAGAAAATGGAAATAAAGAAAGGTAAGTCTAGGCCCAGGGTAGGTGCTAGAGAGGAAAAGATCATATTATTTGAGGAGTACATGCACACTCTGGAAAAATCATAAGCCATATCAGGAAGCTCATCAGTGTGAACCAGATCAGGGGTTAGCACACCTTTACTAATAAGGCTTGATAGTAAATATTTTAGACTTCAAAGGCAACAGAATCTCTATTGCACTTGCACCAACTCCACTCTGGGATTGGCACACGATATGTGAATAGGTGGGCATGACTGGTTTTCAGTAATGCATTATTCATGACAGCAGACTGTGGCCAGGATTTAGCTCAGAACTGCAGTTTGCCAACCCCTGAACTAGAATAATAAACATTGGGTAACATGCAAATATAGCAAATAGATTCTAATTTCTAGCACTAATTCCATTCCAATTAAGGCCCATAGAAATGCCTGATAAAATTTCTAAAGCTGCATCCAGGCTTAGAAGAAAGGATACTTCATAATTAGAAATGTCACAACTTTCAGTGGATATACATTAGCTGATGTGTCTTTAGAGTTCTACTTACAAGTTCAGGTGAATATAAAGGCGTATCATTTACCAATGTGTAATTCTCTAATCCACCTCAGGAAGCCAATACACTCATAAATATTAATCATCTGGAAAGGTCTTGTAAAAGTCAAAACACAAAACATGTGACAGCCTACTTCAAGTTACAATTCCCTCAACCCCACTGGTCCCTTATCAAACCTCATGACAAAGTCCTAAAATATTTTCCCCTGAGTAGGGAAACTTAAACTAACTTTTGATTCCTGAGCTTTGGACACTACCTGAATATCAAGAACACACCCAGCAGGAGCTTTGAATGGAAACCACATACCTGGGCTGGACTCTTCAGGAGGGGGACTGGTATCTGCACAGAAATGGAGGGCAACAGGGATGATTAAGGAGCAGCACACAATTCAAACATGAGCAACTCAATCTCAGAGCTGCTGCAGCAGCAGCCTGTAAGGTGACTAAAACACACAGAGAAGAGGTCTGGGCCTGAATACCTCTTCCCCAGAAGTTTCACAAAGGCATTCCAGCTGCTGTGAGTAGCTGGGCTCTGTCACCAGTAGACAATGCAGATTCACCAGTGTCAACATTCACGTTACTAATGTCTCCACATAAAACACACTTCAGGATGAGTGATCCAACATATACAACGGGATGCATGCCACATCAATGATGTTGTAATAATGGATCCCATGTTAGCTCACAACATCAAATGAGAGAGACTAGCTCATTGATCATGGCCCCTGTCAGAGTCCACGTGCCCTGACTCACTGGGGAAGCTTAGGATCAAGACTGCCTACTGAGATCCAAAATGTTAAGATCCAGTAATAAAACCAATATTCCAAAAAGAACACTATTCTCCATCTTTAAGATTTAAACTAAATGCAAAAGTTGTATGTTTGGGGAGAACTCTCCAATTAAGATATCTTGCAGGTTTTCAAAAATCCAATTTTTATTCTATTTTTTTATTGAGTCATAACTGACATACATTTCAATTTTGTTTTCTTTAAAAACTCTAAAATTCCCAGTGAACTGGGTGTGCTACCTGAAAGAAAACAAGTTTGAGAAGGAATCACAGGAATAAGAATTGGTTCTTTTAACTAATAAGTTCAAAGAGTATCTTCAGATTTTTGAAACAAAGTAGTTTCATATTCTCAAAACCAAGCAGAACCAGCTTTAAGGGGACTTTTCCATATTGTCGAGTCTAGGTCATTCCTCTCTAACCTTTAGACATGGCTTCTTAAAACTAGCATAGGGGATACAAAGGCCTCTATGAGTTAGAAAGCTCTGACTTTTGTTGGAACTCACATACCCAAAGAGCATCTAGCTAACAAAGATGAGAATCCCATAGATGTAACTTTGAGTAACTTTGAAACTTCTGTCTGTCTGATCAGAATTATCTGGCCCTTTAAAAAATACAGATTTTGCCTCCTTTTTACCCCTCCATCAAGTCTGTGAGCAAAGGAGAAATGTCTTAAGAGCCTGTTTTATGAGCTTCTGTGGTGATTTTGAACTGCTGAGTTGGGAGCATACCTGTGAGAGTTTTATCAGGGTTCAAATTCAACTTTCTAAAGCTCATCTTACAATCAAAGAGAAGAAATAAGTCTCCTCTGGTATTCTGGACCAGTGACTTTCTAACTTGGTTTAGATTATGAAGTCCTATGAGGTTTAACAGCCACTGTGAACTTTCCCTTCAGGTGCATGTAAAATGCAGCATATAATCTTAGAGATCCATGAACTGGGGTGCAGCCATAGAAACCAAGGTTAACCTCGTTCTTTCTGATCCTCCTGATTTGATTACACTGGAGTCTAAAGAACTTTCTGACTCTTGTAAGATCTGAAAATTAGGAAGGCTCCATAGTTGTGATTCTTACTCTCCTTTGTGACTGATCAGCAGAGTGAGGCTCTCTCAGGTACATGCCTTATGTTCCTGTCATTACACTCAGCTGATGTGGATGGCACACGTAAGTACAAGTCAAATGCAAAATAACATAAATGCTCATTTATGTAAAATGAATCTAAGTGTGTCTATATTTAAGCAATACAGGATATGTCTAAAGTATTTTTTATAGATACCTAGCACATCTGACTAAACCAACTAGATCCTAAATTTTAAAAAAAAACATCTAGGGCTGGGAATGTGGCTTAGTGGCAGAGTGCTTGCCTTGCATGCATGAAGCCCTGGGTTTGATTCCTCAGGAACATATAGGCAGAAAAAGCCGGAATTGGTGCTGTGGCTCAAGTGGTAGAGTGCTAGCCTTGAGAAAAGAACCCCAGGGACAGTGCCCAGGCCCTGAGTTCAAGCCCCAGAACTTGCAAAAAATAAATAAGTAAATAAAAAATTTTAAATGAGGGCAGGGGTAACAAGTTGAACAAGAAATGTATACACTCTCTTATTTGTGTAACTGTAACCCCTCTGTACATCACCTTGACAATAAATTTTCTTAAGTTAAAAATCTAAAAAATTACTCTTGGTATCTGCCAAGGAAACATAAAGTTACAAACAAGATGGTGTGTGGGGCTGTGTGCGCGCGTGTGTGCGAGCACTCATGTGTGTATATCATCTTTCTTCTAATGAACTTTCAGAAAAACTGCAAAAACAAACACAACTTACAACTTAATGTTTTTTTAAAAAAAAACAGATCAAAAAGAACAAAACAGAGACAAAAGAACCATGAACCAATATAGGTTTGAGAAAATTCAAGCTTTAACCCTGGTGGATAGAGAAGTGGATGATGTAGACTCTGCTGAAATAGTGGAATAGTACCCTAAGAAACAGATTGCAGGCAAATTAAAAGAAGTGAAGGGCATCTCCTACACAGAAGAAGGAGTTATCAAAAGCCTTTGACAAAGTAGCACAATTCTGCCTTGAATGGAAGTTGCCCAATTAAGAATTTGAAAATCCTCATCTTTTGAAGTCTAATCCTTGGTACATCTTGGTCATAATTTATATGCCTTAAAGTTCTCCAACAAGAGCAAAATGGAGGCAGAAGATCAGTCTGCAGCCAGAACTCAACTGACTGGCCCCAAATCCTTTCCAGCTATCACAGGAAAAAGTGAGAAGGGCATCTGTGAGGAAGGGACAAAGGATCTGCTTACTTAGAAAGCACATAGTCCCCAGTTTTAAGGCCACTCACAGAACAGATGTCTCTCAGGTCTCCGTAGACAAAAGACTATTTGAAGAAGGTTGTCTCATAGCTTTATTCAAGATCCCCCTTGAAAGGTGGTGCCAAACAGGTAAACCTAACTCAGCCCCCACAGACCAGAAATGAAGATCCACCATCTTCCTGAATTACAAATTACTAGATAACATGTCTCTAGTAGATCAGAGTATGCTGGGCCAGTGATAAGTAGCCTTTGGGTAAGGCTGTAGAGCATGTTAACACCTTCATCTAGCAGTGTCCCTGTAAAACTCACCCTTCCCTCATCTACCAGTTCCTAAAGCAATAAACATTGCAACAGAGAGGCATCTGCAACCATGACTATGATGGTGTCACCCAGATGGGCCTGAAAAGGAATTCAGATTCATGTGTAGTTTACTCTCACATTGACTGACCTGCCAACCCTCCCTTCAGTCTACCTAGGAGAGGGATGCATGGAATCAGAAACAAAGACAAGTGATACAGCTCGAGGTGGAGAGAGCATGAGAAGCATGAATGCATACGCACGTGTGCTTGGGTGAGGATGGCATGCAGCAATGGACATGGAAGAGGGGCATGGTGAGGAGGGGGTGTTGCAGAAGGGGTCCTCCGGTCTGATCCAGTAGGCGTGGCTGTTCCGGTTACCTTTCTTGCTGGTGCAGCTGCCTGCACAAGGAAAGACATCCTCACAGCCCTCGCCATGCAGGCGCTCCTTCTGCAGTAGCTTGTCCACTCGCTGGATGATGCATTCCAGGCTCTTGTCCACGTTCAACCACACTTTCTCCTTCCAAACAAAGAGAGCGCACTGGAATCAGTCATCCCAAAGGGAAAAAAAAAAAAAACCAGCACAAACCAAATCCCTCTGTGATACTACACCTCAGGCCACCATGTTCATTAACATGATTAAGAAATATCTAGATGACTCTTAATTTCCCATTAAAGTTGTATTTGCTCTTCAAAGATAAGTTTATGTCACTTTTTTGGAAGTTTGAGATTGTTTATAATTGTATAGAAGACATATAGCCTTTTAATACCACCAGAAATATCACACGGCACTATAAGCCTTCCCTCCACTGCAGGCACACATATATACACACACATACCTACATACACACATGCACAGAAGATGAACATCTCTTTCCCAAGGAATGAAATGGAAACAGCTGTTCAGGGAAGATGAAGAAGTTGGGAGGAGGAAATGGAAGGTGGAAGTAATTTTCAGAAGCCCTCCCAGATGGATGCCATAGCTGAAGGACCACTTTGTGATGATTACTACTTGATTACTTTAGTGTCAAGCTCTAGTCCCAACAAGTGACAAGTTGTATAATGTGGTCTTTCTCTCAAGAGACACATATCCTGCTCTCAAGGCCATCTTTGTGAGGAACAGTAATGTGATACAATGTCAGGGTAGTTCTAGCACCTAAGCTCCCACAACTCCTAACAGTCCTGAAAAGGCAAAGAGCCAGCAGAGTACCAAAGAAATAGAAGTATGGCTAACAGGAGCCACAAAAGACACAGCTGTCAGGGAGAGCAATGAAGGCCTTTAACAACACATTCAGAGGGTAAAAAGAAAACCTTCTCTACAGGCTCCCACTTTGTGTCAGATAGTCCCAAAAACATCAGGGAAGGAGACCTGGAGCTTTCTCACAATGGAGTCCATCCTTTATATACCATCGAAGGGAAGAACTGGCAACTGGTTCTGTAGTTTGCAACCCAAATTCAGCAACAGGATAACAGGCCATGGGCAGTAGACTTACCCACTCCTCCTCGTGCCAGTCCACTTGCAGGGAAGATCGGCTGTTCCTCCCAGTCCACCTGGCCATGAGCGTGTCCTGGTCATTCCGAAGCATCACCTGTTCCTCCTCTGTTGAGGTCGGGGAGGCCTTAGAGGCGATATAGTCAGGTCGTGCAGCATTCAGTCCATGGATGGAGCTGGCCAGCAGCTTGCAATCACAAACTGTGACCAGCTGCCGGGTCTGCAGATGTACACAAACCAGAACTGGAATTCTGACCCACAACAAGGGCTACAAAGGTTTGGATATGAGGAAGTCCATCATTCCCCATTTCTGCCCTGCTTCATGGTGATAAGCAACTAAAGAGCTGCAGTACCCCCACCCCCTCAGAATGTCTGAGTTTTCCACAAGAATTCCCCCTAAAACTAGAAAACACAAGGAAGATGAGAGGAGGCTAAAAATCTTCTCTAACATTCTTTGTCCCCCACCTGCCTTTGACCCTGCTCACAAGAAGAGACCTGAAGAGAGTCAATATTCCAGCCTTAACCAGCTCATAGCTCTTTCCATCCTCAAAGGAAAAAGTCTTGGGGGATCAGGCATTATTTTGGTTCAATTGCTGGAGTTTTTTCTTTTTGTACCTAAGCATTTAATACCTAAATTCCTTGGCTTTGAACAGCTAGATTCCTGGAACTTCTGGTTTTAGAGAATTCTATAGGCAACAGGAGTTCTTTGATTCATAATTTTATTGCTGATATTTTATCTTTCCCTGGGATCTAAGTTCTCTTTTTGCTGTATTAACACCTATGAAAGACATAACACATTCTGGTTAGGAACAGGAGCTTACTCTCAGCAAAGTGTGGGAAGGAAGTGTGACCAGAATGATGTGTGTGTGCTCTGAGACTGAGTAATATGAAAAACTATCACCCACCAAAATGGTCTAATAAAAATAATGTCTTACATATCCAGTCCCTCAATGTGGACCAACATTTACAATTATTTTTAAGACAAGACCAAGTTATGGCAAAAAAAAAATCTGGCTCATGTATCTGTATATGCCAATGAATATATTATGCCAATTAAGATAAATAGACAGATATGCCACTGAGATTATATTACTGAGATTATATCATTCTTATGTCTGTTTTATAGTTCAGGTTCTTTTTAAATTCATATACAAAAGAAATTTTTTAAAGTACTGGTTAGGCCATCACTAAGAAATTACAGGCTGCATCAAATCAAACACAATAAGCCAGAGCCCAGACTTTAGAGTCACCAGCCATGGGTTCCTAGGCAAAGAACAAAACCTTCCTGGGCCTTTGTAAGATAAACTTTCAAGAGCATCACAATGTCACTCTCTTTGGGACTACTCTAGGCATACTAAGGTTGCTCTAGTGTACAAAGAGGGTTATAGAAACCCAAGGGAATGCCATACCCCACAAGCACCAGGAAAGCTCTTCCTACCTTGTCTGCCAAGATGGCAAGTGTCCTTTCAAGGCCAGTGGCAGACCTGTCCTTGGCTGCCCTTGAGAGCCGCTCTGCGTAGTAACTAACTTGGGTTTTCAGGGTGTTGATCTGGGCGATAATCTCTTTGGCTCTGATGATGTCTTGTGGTATGTAGATGATAGACTGGCAGCTAGATGATGTACTAAAAAGGATAAGAACAGATTCTAAGGCGCTCTCTCTCAAATCTGATGAGGTCAGCAGCAGCATCTCAACCCCAGCTCACAACTAACCTTAAAATAAAGTGTTCTGCTACTTGGGGAGGGGATGTTTCCCCGAGTAAACATTTAGTTACTAATGGACAAAAATAAATCTTAGGAGAAAAAGCTTTTAAAAAGATGGTTTTGTTTTGTCTTAAAATAATCACAGCTCAAGCTTGCCTTGAACTAAAAAATCCTCCTGCCTCTACCTCCCAAGTGCTGACATTACAGGGATGCACAACCATGCCTAGCTTGGCAGAGACCTTTTATCTAAATAGTAGTAGCATAAAATACTAAAACAAGACTAAGTCTTTTAATCTACATCTGTATGGGTCTATGTACATAGAAAACGTATTTAAATACACAGGAAACTTATGTGAATATACATTTATGTGTGTTTATAGGCACTGGAATATCACACCCAGTAATTACCCAAATGCTCACCATCTTTACCTAAGAACTTCAACTATCCACTTACAAGCAGTTCTTAAGTCGAGAGTATCACATGAAAGTTATGTATTGGACTTCAAGAGGGTGGAGGGGAAAAGGGGAACTTTTGTTAAGACAAAACAATGGTTTAAACTCTACTTTTTTTGCTTGTCCAATAAGGACTTCAAATTTTCTGTGAGCAGACTCAGTATTCCTCTCTCACATGTCTGACCCTAGTGAGTCCCCAGAAACTGGGCTTCCTTCTTTTCCCCTGCTCCAGGACTCCTTTACTTTGAAAAATAATATGCCATCAGAAGAAAAAGTGGAGAATGTGCCAACCAGAGGCTAGGCACCAAGATCTCAATGTCTTTGAACTATGGTTCTAGCTCCTTCCCACCTCCTCATCAACAATCAGCAGGTGTACCTGAGGATTTGAGGTCAAGTGACAACCCAATCACACTGCAGCACAAATGGAGCTCTGGGAGTCAACTACCTCACTCTATGGCTGCATGGGGCTGAGTCAGCATGTGTAGTTCTCCTAGGTGGCAATGCCAAGTTGCATGTTATTTAGCTCATGTCTCAATCAATCCAATATTTTACACTTATTCTTCAGGTCATCTGAAGCCAAGCAAACCAAAGTACAAGTTGTCAAGGCAGAGATCTAAAATTTGAGCTTGTGAGATATGCATGGAATAATGCCCCTTCCCTCCTGGGAAGAGGAACCTTGTCTTGTCCCTCAAGGATTACTCTTAAGTTCTGGGTATGAAGAAGAAGGTGGACAGAGGGCAGCCCCCCCTGACCCCTTCCTCCATTTACTGAAGATAAAGGTCACCTGGGCCTTTTCCAAGGAAGGCCAGAAGTGGGTCATGAAGAAACTGCTGCTGTCCCTCCTTTTGTTGGACTACAGAGCAAACATGCAAACACCATAAACCAAAGTACCCCAGAAACACTACCACCACAAGCCCATACACCACAACGAAAACTGATGGATTTGCCAGAAGCCCATGCAGCAATGGCAATTGAGCCTGTGCACACATGTCATTCCACAGCACCATGTGCACGCAGCTACCTTCCAATCTGCAATCACTCTTCCAAATGAATAGCTGCCATATATAGTAATTTAGGCTTGAAAATAACATCTCAAAGTAAAATTTTTTAAACCTATTCTTCCCAGGCTCTCAATATTTAAAGTCCAGATAGAGTATGTGTTGTATATACATCTACTTTTGTGTATGTACGTGGTTGTGCACACTCCAACAGGTACATACCCACCTCAAGGCATACTCCTGTGCTCTGACAAGTCATTTCCTAACAATAGCACCTGGGTCTGATCTTAGAAAGCATGTGGTATGGGTGCGAAAAGGAAAATTTCAAAGAGCTGCTGTGCAAGGATAACAGAGATCCACAAGCACATGTGCTCAATACCTAGTTTTAAAAACAGGCAGCCACATGAAGAAGGTGGGATGGGGCTGCAGAGGAGTTACTGCTTGGCATCACAGACCTTCATAGAAAGGCTTAACTTCAGGGAAGAGGCCTCTCAGTCCCATTAACTGGGCTAACTAGTTCTTCTTGGGGCAGCCCCAGGAGACAGTGGTTTGGGGGGCTTTGCACTAGGCCTCCATGAGGCCCACTGACTCAGACCTATTCTGAGAGGGCTCAGGGGCTAAACCGCAGGTATATGTAAATGTAAGTGTAGAGCAGTTGGGTGTGGGCCAGAACTGTCTGGCAATGGAGGAGCAACAGTCATTCTGTGGAGACTATACACCCATGGAGCTAGGTCCCACACAGGGTCCCAACTGCTCTTGGCCTGGGATTTAGTCCTCAAGACAGAAATTTCTGTCTGTCTCCCAGGCAGAAATGTCTTTCCTCCCCCACCTGTCTCAGGAATATCTTCTATATGAAAAAGAGGATGGAGGAGTGAGGTAACCAGGTCCCAGCTGGGCTATGAAATGTCAAGTTTCCTCAGTTGAGAGAGAACTTGGAGAACTCCCATGTAAGAGTCACTTAAAATATTGGAGCTGGACTTCCCAAGGAGCAGTCGTGCCTTTGACTCTCAGCTTCCCATTGCCCATTGCCACATCTTTCAGAGCCAACCTCTTAGAACTTGACTCATCCTGCTATTGGAAAGGCAGAGCCTTCCATGGGACCCCAGCAAAGAAGGGAGGGAGCCTGCACAGTAGCCTCACTGAGCCAGAAGCAGCGGGAGCCCTTTCCAGATGCCTTGCCCACATGTCCTCCCTTGCTCTCTCAAGGGGAGGCTTAAGAGGCCTTACCCTGGATGTACTGGGGTCCTCAGAACTTCCTACTACCAGATGAATCCAGTCCTGGCATCTTAGGCAGGACCCAGTCACAGCTTTGGAGCCTCATGAGTCACTCAAAGGTGGCAGCATTTCCCAAGGGCTACAGAAGCCTCTGAATAAAATGCCTGGGGAACCCTAGGTCTAGACATGATGCCCTCTGGTTGCCAATTAATGCTAATAAATGGCATGAAAACGTAAGCTGACTTCATCAGTACAGAGGGGAAGATGAAGGGAAAGCTGAGAATCCTCAAAGTTCTTAAAAGGATTTTCGAATACCATACTGGTGGGTTGATGTGACATCCTAGCACCCAGGCCCCTCACTGGGCTGGGCTATCCTACCGCCTGGAAGAAACAGAACTGGGTCCTATTTTAAAGATAGCACAATAATGACCTTCTACCAGGTTGGGAAGACAAGCAGTAGACTGAAGAGTGGCTATTCATTATCCAAGAACATTGCAGTTGGAATGGAGAGCTCAGTAACTAAGAGCACATGGCACCAGGGGGTAAAATAACCCCTAGGCAGGGTGCGGGACAGCATAGGCTTTCTCCACATGAGAGCGAAAACCAACAGACACTCTCTCCACAGACAGAAAACTCACCAACACTCCTCAAAACTGCTAAAGAAAAGAACCAAAATGAAATATTAGGAGTTAGCAAATACCAAACACAAAACAAAAAATTAAAAGCCAAGTTACTTTTTTGAAGATGCTTTGAATTATTTGAGGTCAGGAGTATAAGGACAGCTAAACTTAAGAGCCCAATGTGCTTATTTACTCCAACAACTCCCTGGCCTGTGCTCAAGCCACAGAGGACATCCCATTGAAGGCAAGAAATACCTGCTTTGAAGGAAAGCTCACATGATGAGAACCCTGTCTGTAAGGGCTTTTATGACACTAATAGGAAATAAAACAACTGCATTACATATTGGAAAAACACTACAGCTAGACTTGTGAAGATAAGTTGTTCTTATGCTAATATAAAGAGTGAAAGTGTCAACACTGACCTTCCTGGGGACAGGGACAGTCAGGAGGCCCCTCTTGTTGGCCATATGGAATGAATAAACTTTCTCTTTTAGGGTCCCCACACCATCCCAAATCACACACTCACTGTCTCCACACAGCAACAAGCAATGGCACAGGTTCACACTTTCTGGCTGACTGTGCAGAGATGGAGTGGGCACAGCATACAAAGCTTCATCTTCTTCCTATTCCTTAGAACAACACTGAGGACAGTGAGTACTGAGGCAAGTTTGATCACCTGGTCTGCCTGCTTGGTGGGGATTAATCAAGGTCAAGTAGGCTTTCTGGGGACATCTCAGAAAATGCTGAGATTCTAATGCTGACCCCAGCCCTTCCTCACTTCCCCCATCCTCTGGGCTCACTCAGCTCTGGGCTAGCATGGGACAGCCTAGGCACACTTTTGAATACTGAATTCTCAGAATGTACTTCCTTCTGCTCCCTGCTTAGGCATCCATCCTTGCCCACATCAGGAATGCTGTTTTCTCTCACCCTTCCCTCCCTCCTCCTGTCTCTTGGCCACAAATCTAATATTCTCCTCCATGCTGCAGTTTATGGTCAATTCTCTCAAGCAGTGTCCTGGCAGCAGAATTGGGCAATGACACACTCCATGTGTGCTATAGCTCTCCTTCACCGATCATCTTTCAAGATTCTTTGGGTACTCCCTGAGTTTTCTCTCAAAGCATTCCATTCTCAGTTGGTAAATCAGAACCTTTCAAGATCATATTCGACAGAGGTGTTTCCACTGATAGTTTTAGATTGTCCCTTCTCACTTCTCTGCAACCCCATCTGCTCCTCTTCTCCTTTCTGGGATGAAGTGCCTGGTCCTGCCTCCTCATCTTCTTCACAACCCACCCCTCCAGTGCTCTTCTACCTTAGCGTTATTCATGTGCATCTTCCCTAATAGCCTACACATATATTATTCTCTCTGAGAACTTTGTGCTGCTTCCTCTAATTCAATGATTTGTTATTTGTCCAAGGTCCTAATATCCCCATTTCTTATTTGTACTCATCATCCCCATTTTTTTATTTGTACCCCCTTGGCCAACTTAAATTGAGGCCAGTGACATTCTAGATCAGCAGGGAATACCTCCTGCATGCCTAATACAACAGCTTAGATTTGTGGCACTCCCCAACAAAGACTTGGTCAATACCTTGATCTATATTCCCAGTACCTTCTTTGGCTAGTTCCAGGCACTGCTTTACCCAAATGATGTGTGCTGATATGACCTCTTGGGTAGGAACCTGAGCTCCCCAGGGTCATACTTAGATCTTGTTAGCCTGTCTCCCTGCTGGCCAGAATCCAGCTCATCCCAGAGTAGGCTAGCCATGTTCAGCTTTTCTCTCATTGCATGCAATTATCTATCATGTCCTCATCTGAGACACCTTTCCCCATACTGCCTACCTGGAAATTTTCTACTCAGGACAGAAGCTGCAGGCAGCTTCCTGCATCTTTTCAACATTAGGAATGCTTATCACTGCTGTCTTTCAAGGAAGGACAATGTATGATTCTGGTGCTCCACTGACTAATGAGTGACTCCAAAAGACACTGAGCCAGCAGTCCAACAGGCCTTCTGCCTGACCACTCAGAGGTGGACTGCAGTGTGCTGCACATTTTGAAAGGATGGTATCATTAATGAGGTGTTTTATTACCAACTCAGCTGTCACTGTCTCTCTCTCTCTCTCTCTCTCTCTCTCTCTCTCTCTCTCTCTCACACACACACACACACACACACACACACACACAGAGCAGCACAGGGTCTCTAAGGCAGCTCCTCCGCCACGCAAAAGCAGATCGAATAGCTGAATGTTTTATGTTCATATACTGAATTTTTTTTAACTGGGAAGCATCAGACAGCTGTACAAGGACCACAACCCCCCTCCCTCCTACTTACTGTTTCTTGGTTTCTTCAAATTTGTGTAGTTTTTTGCGAAGACCTCCTGACTTAAAACCTTGGCAGTGTGCTGCTGGTGCTCCGATAGTGACAACATCATAATTCTGATCTAAATGACAGAAAGTTCTTCTGTTACTCCAGACTCAGGCCTGCAGACAAGCCAGTTACAAGGATGTGCACAGTTCTCTGGGATTGTGCCTTCCAATCTATATCCAAGCAGCCTTAATTCCCTAATCTTACACCCTAGCCACTTGAGGACCTGCTGGAGTCCAGCACCATCATCTCAGCAAAAAGAAGAGCCTCGGGTTTCAAAATGAAGTCATGTGAGGCTGCAGGAAGCTATGAAAATGTTCATTTCTATGCCTCCTGGGAAAGGATAACTGATGGGCAACTTTCTGCCACAGAAACAGAAAAGGAATCTGGGAAGAGGAGAGACATGAAAAGGGTTTGGGGATCATTTTATTTTGTGCTGGTATTAGGTCTTGAGCTTCAGTACCCAGCTTTTGCTTGGCTTTCTGGCTCACAGTTGGCACTAAACTACTTAATCCACACTACACTTTGAATTACTTTGGGGGAGGCAGGAGGCAGACTGGCTGATTACAGGTAAATCCCATAGATTTGTCTGCCTGGACCAGTTTCAAAACCTTGTTTCTCAGATTTCAGCTTCCTAAGCCGTTAGGATCATAGGCATAAGTGGCTTTTTAGTATAACCCAGCATCTTTTTCATTATTTGGTGGTACTGGAGTTTAAACTCAGGGCTTCATATTTGGTAGGCAGATATTCTACTGCTGAGAAACATGACACTAGCTCTCTTCTGCACTAGAGCTAGCTTCTCACTTCCTACCTAGGAGCAAATCTGGATAAGATATGCCTACTTTAGGCTTCCCAGATGGGAATGACAGGCATGTACTCAGTTACTTCTATTAAGAGAGTCTTGTGGACTGTTTTGCCTGGGATTGTCCTAGAGCCACCACCCTCCCAATCTCAGCTCCCATGAAGCTAGGAATAATGGTGCACACCACCACACCCAATCAGGTATTGATAAGGGGGTCTTGGGAACTTTTCTTGCCTGACTGTCCTCAAACTACAATCCTCAGCCTCCCAAGTAACTAGGATTATAGGCATAAGTCACCAGCATCTGCAGGTTGAGGTTCTTTAACTGAAACCTTTAAAAGTCATCTTGATGGGATATGTATTTTTTTTTCCCAAAAACCCCCAGTGGCAGGAAAACTGGAGCAGATTTGGGGTAGCTCAAAAACCAAGTATGGAGAAAGGAGAGAGAGGAAAGAGAGGAGAGAGAGAGAAATGAAATGTAATTCAACCACAAGAACAGAAAAATAGGTACCTGATCCTCCGTCATCTTGAACTCTCATCCTTTGTATGTGAAGGTTTGTGGGAACAAATTCTAACTTTTTATCTGCTTTCAAACTACTTGCTTTAAAAGAAGGACCTGAGAAATGGATTAAGAAAATAAAGGTCATCAACATTTATTATGAACAGCAAGGAGGTAAATGGCTCTTCAGTTCTGTTAATGCATGTTGGCTGCAATAATGGCCTAGGGTTGTCCATGAACACATTCCATTTCTATATGGTAGGTTGGAGGGCTACTTACTGAAGGCTACTTACTGGCCACAAGATTGATTCTGAGTGCTTAGGTGATAAACAGAGCCAGGGGAAACCAGCTCCTCCTAAGACTCAGCTTGAAACTCAAAGACTTGCCACACAGATGTGATCCTGGACAGCACAATGCCAGCACCACTATAAAAAGTGAACAGGTCCAGGACAGAAACTACCTGTCCTCACTCCAGAGTGCCAGCACCCAGGATCTGAGAAACTGGATCACCTAGTGCAATGCAACTCAATTCTGAAAAGTGATGGAAAGGTGTGCTCATCATTCCAGGTCCAAGCAGATGAGTAAATGCAACAGAATACAGACCTCAACAAATGTCTTTGGGTATGCTTGGTTGGGTAAGAAGGTTGGGTGATATTTTATAATCAGTATCTAAAATCTTAGTTCTTTAATCAGAATTCAGAATCCATAACTACTTAAGTGAAGAACCATAGACCTAACCAAGAATTAAAATGACACAACTATAGAAGAAATAAACATTGCAACTCATATAAAACAGTAAAGTTTGATTGTCACTGTGCAGATCAGCAGCCTATGCTTTATGTCTTGTCATAGGAATTAGTCTCTAGGGCCTGATACTCACACTGTGGCCCTCACACCAGCAGTTAAGGTGAAAAATACCAAGATGCTGTGAGAAATGAAAACTTCCAGACATGCATTATACAAGGTTCTCAGAAGATTGGGATAACATTTGAGAAGGTCTATTCCAGAAAACTTAAAGTTATATGACTTTCACACTTACCCAGGGAGCATTTGTCCAGCATTGGTCGATTTCTTGCTTCTTCAGACAAATGCTATTATTTCTCTTAGCAATGCACTTAAGACTTATTCTTCAGGATCAAATCAACCTCATATACTACCATCTTGTCATACCTATATTTAGCTTTTCTTACCCAAGTTTATGGACATGTTTTTATGTTCTGTGTCAAAACCGCAATAAGGGCTTATATTATTTCCTTAAACCCTGAAATAATTTAAGGAAAGTATACAGTGGAAGAAAGACAGAATAAGAAGATAGAGAATTATTTGAAATACTGAAGCCATAAATGAAGTAATGAAAACCAAAAAATACATTCTATTAAGTGTTAAGAACAGTTTTCTAAATCTAACCTGAAAGTTTTAGAAATCAAATGGCATCTTTCAAGAATAAAGAATGTAGGGCAAGGGCTGCAGCTCAATGGCAGAGTACTTGCCTACCATGTGCAAGACCTCAGGTTTGATCCTCAGCACTGAAAATTTTTTAAAAAGAAGAAAAAAAAAACAGTGTTTACACTTCCCTTTCTATCTTTAGCCTTAAAATATAGAGTTCTATTCTGACAATTTATATGCTCAATAAAGTAGAAATGCATAATTAAACCAGAAATTCTATAGAACTGTTTCATCTCAAGGCAGATGGCCTATATGCTTTTGGTCATTTCAGTGATATTAAAGCAAGATGAAGATATTACATAAATAAAGCTATTAATAAATAAAGCTATTAATGAATAGCTTGTGGTTCTGTCTCCTCTGAATCTTACCCTGTAGTGATTGTGTTGGTAGATGGCATCAAGAAGGGCTTTCAGTGCAACTCACTGATTTGTCTTTTTAATTAAAATCTGAAAAGGTATATTTGAAAGAATTCACACCTATATGAAAGCTATTTTTTAAAACCCACTCAAGATTGTTAGTAAGAGTGTGCAAGTGATCCTAGGCTCCACCCCTCTGGCCAGGAAAGTAGGGAGTACATGTGCTTGGAGAAGATGGGCCATACCCACCTTTGTACTGATGAAGGTCAGTCAGGTTCTCCTGGTACGTGAGGATAACTGTCTGATACTGGGTGACGATTTGGCGCCGAAGGCTTTCCCAGCAAGGAGACAGCTCCCCTAACTCCTCCAGCTCACATACTCTGCAAAGAAGACACAGTTGTCAGGTCTTGGGGATAGCTCACCTCGTCAGAGAAATCTAGGAATCTTGACTAAAAGAACAAGATGCACATGAAAGGAGCACTGATAGCAGAGTACTAGCCAACCTAAAAGCAACTGAAGGGAAGGTAGACAAACAGCTACCTGAAAGAGAGATCACATGAGAAAATGTACCAAAAGGTTTTTAGGAACTCAGTAGAATGTTCCAGAGAAACAGTGGAAATAGTGAGAGGGAAGAGGCTGTCAGGAAGTTGGCTCTGGAGTGGTATCCTGGTGACCTTGCAAATACCACTCTGACACTGGCACAGCTTTCCTGAAGCTGAGTAAGATGATGTGTGACTGTCCAGAAGAAAGGGACTGAAGACATGTCAGTAACTGCCATGAGGGAATTTTCCACATGCCTCCCCATCTTTCTCCTCAGTGGCTATCAGGACAGTGTCTCTTGTTTTCCAGGTTCTGATCAGGTGTAGACTTTCTACTCCTACCCCACTACTGGGCTGAAGCCTAGAGCTGGCTCTTCAGCAATGGATGCTGTAGTCAACAGTCCCTTTGGACTCAATGTCATCATTTTGGGGAATGGGAAAAGGACCATTATGAAATGGTACCTTTGGCTGTTCTTCCTTTTGCTGCCTATGAAAGGAAGACAAGGACTGGCTCCAGCCTTGACTTCTATGTGTATGCCTGACAAAGGCATGGAGGACAGGGGAAAAGGAGAAGAGTGACAAATTATCTCCAGAAAAATGTAGGCTGTAAGTCAGAGCTGAATATGAACTCCTTAGCTCAGCAATAGTAACTACACAATTAAAACAACAATAATACAAGATATATTTTTAAAACTGTACAACTGGGCTGGGAATGTGGCTTAGTGGTAGAGTGCTTGCCTAGCATGCATGAAGCCCAGGGTTTGATTCCTCAGTACCACATCAACAGAAAAAGCCACAAGTGGCCCGGTGGCTGAAAGTAGTATAGTGTTAGCCTTGAACAAATGAAGCTCAGAGATGGTGCCCACACCCTGAGTTCAAGCCCTAGAACTGCCCCCCCCCCCAAAAAAAAATTTAATTAATTGAAAAAAAAAACTTGGTTTCTTAAACAACAACAACAACAGACAACAGATAACAGATAACAAAGGCCTAAGTACCTCATCGCAGGAAATCAGTAACTAATCACAGAAAATGATAGAGGGCTCTTTAAACGCATATATAAAGACAGCAGGTAAGCCGGACACTAGTAGCTCCTGCCTGTAGTCTTAGCTACTCAGGAGGCTGAGACCTGAGGATTACAGTTTGAAGCCAGCCCAAGGTAAGAAAGTCTGTGAGACCTATATCTCCAGTGAACCAACAAAAAGACAGAACTAGAGCTGCAGCTCAAGTGGCAGAATGTTAGCCATGAACAAAAAGCTTAGGAACAGCACCCAGGCTCTGAGTTCAAGCCCTAGGACTAGCACAGAGAAAAAAATTTAATATATAGCAGTAAACATAACAACCATTAAGTGATTGCCTGCAGGAAATAGAAATTACAGGGTGCTATGTCTTTGAAAGGAAAAACAATTAGACAAAAGTTTTTAGGAATCAAATTGTATAAAGTTTTTTTTTAAGTTTTGTCATTTTATTATTACTAAAGTAGCAAACCTAATGTAAAATAAAACCCAATGAAGGTGGAGCTACACTGAAACCAAGATTCTCATTCCCTGCCAGACACCAGTCTGCTGGTCTCAGGCTACTACAGAGCACAGGAGCCCTGTCTATCTCTGCTGTTAGCCACTCTCTTAGGATGTCTTTACCTCTGTGTTGCACATGGCTTATTCCCTTTGCCTTCAGGTCAGCTAATGCTGCTATATCCCAAAGACCTGCCTCACCTCTCTCTTCCCCCAGCTCCCTTTTTCTTTTTCTACTATGGGAATGACAGCCCTGGGGCTTGGCTTCAGTGTCTAGGCACACTGTCCCTGAGCCTTTTTGCTCTACAACTTGAGCCACAGCTCTGCTTTCAGCATTTTGATGATTAACTGGAGATAAGAATCTCAGATCTCAGCCTCCTGGGGAGCTAGGATTACAGGTGTGAGCCACTGGTGCTCAGCCACAGCTCCCTTTCAGTGTTGGGCATACAGTAACTTATCTAGCACATCTGAAAGTGGTTCCCTTCTCCCTCCCTTTCTGACCATTCCTGGTGACCACCCAGAGTATAAGTACCCCAATCTAGAAAACAACTGGGCAGCTATGACTAAAGAATAACCAGCTATCTGTAACATTCTGAAGGATATGTGAGAAGAGAATGAAGAGGCACTGAGTGTTGGGCACACCTCTGGGGCTTCAAGCACAATATCTAATGAAATCCTTATCAAGGATGAGAAATACACATGAACTACTGAGACTCTGGCAAGCTAAGGCCACAGGCAAGCAGCAGAGGAAGGGTTTGCAGCCTAGCCTGTCTTTGCCTACTGTATCTTAGATAGGAAAAGATATGTGTAATGGGGTGATGGGTGGTCACCCTTTCCATGTGACCTTACCTGGCTGCGTCTTCTTCTAGTAGGAGCTTCACAAACTGCCGGGGCACATGCAGGGAGAGCACACTCTCTGCCATCTGCTCCAGGATCCTCAGGTGGTTGCCATCAGTGGTTGGGAATCGGTACATGCGGCAGATGGCGCCTCCAAACACTGAGGTAGGAAGGCAAGGGAGACAGGCTCTGGGTAAGCTGGCCAAAGACCCATGGGTCCTCCCATTCAGGCTTTCAGTGATGCTGGCAGCATCAAGTCCTCTCTCCAGTCTTCTCAAGGGAGTTTAAGCGCATAAAACAAACCCCATGAACTGACTATACCTGATGCTCCTCCTCTATTACATGCAATCTTCTTGTCCCGGAAGATGACTAACTCTAAAGTGCAAAAAGCTGAGGCGGGGAGCGTATCACTGAATTCAACATGAAAGGAGAAAGAATGTCACATTGATGAGCAGGAGACAGGTAATGATCAGGATGTGGCTATAACAATCACAGAAAGTAGGAGCAGGAGGTGACCATAGGACTAAGTGAACACTCACAAGAGAGGCAAGAGTACCCACCCGATTTCAGTAAAGTGTCTTTTCGCAATGAAGCATATTTGGATCGGATTCCCAATGCCTCAGTCAGGCTCTCATCAACAGGCAGAACCATCTGATAAAACACAAGAAATCTGAGACTCAGGTGACTGCAGAGCCCAGAAATGGAGATCCCATACATAATACCTGAACTCAATACATGCAAATCATTAACCCTACAATGAATATGCTGCCCAAGCCACACACACATTAATTCCCCTCTCAGTATTCTGAGCATTTTCCAAACATGGCCAGTTTTCCTCACACCAATGTCTTATAAGTAATTTCACCTTGTGTTTCATAATTCTAATGTGCAAAATGATGACAAGGGTTTCTCAGGATAGTGTTTTAGATGAAACAAAATATCTTTATAGCAATGACTACTTAGTGTTGGGGCACTTAAATTAGAATTTTCATCTATGAGAGACTGTGTGTATAGGTGCATGCAGGAGAGAAGGAGAGGAAAGATGGAAGGAAAAGATGCTGAAAAGAAGGCAGTATGCAAGGTGACTGGGGCATGTCGATGTCTGGGAGAGACAGTTACTACCAGATTATAATGGAGGACCCAGGTCTCTATCATCTCTTCATTGGCATGCCACTCACCACACCCTGGGGCCAACTTCCTGTCTTCTTGTTCCTGCTCATTAAAAGTGGCCAGTATGGTGCAGAGAGCAGAGGAAAGCTCTAGGACACCAGAGTTTCGTAGGCCAGGGCAGGAGACCTTTCTACCTACTAGGAGCCATGCCTGGAGAGGACCAGAGTACTCCAAGGGGTGCAGCATTAATCAGCAGGTTCTGTCTTTTGCTGAGCACAGAGGCTATCTCCACAAGGATAGATCCACAAGGCTCTGTGGGAGAAGAAGAAAGCATCTACTTACCCTTCCATTGACTGTGTCTACAGACCGGGTCACAGGGGGTTGCTGGTCTGACTTCTCCTCCATCTGCCAGCCAATCACTGTGATGTTACCCACACGATCACTCTCTGCAGACCTGCAACAAACAGTATGTTTTGATGAGCTGCACTGAGACTGTACTTGTTTTCTGCTTAAACTCAAAGCTCAACCATCCCGTGCCTTTATGGTCCTAGAGCAGCAAGGCCCAGCCAGTTGATCAACCGGTCACCACTCACTGTTATATACCTTTGAAGGGAGGCAAACACAGAAACCACAGGACACAACAGAGATCTATGTCTGACTAGGGCTGGGAAAGACTTGCCTGGTGAAGTCAGAGGAACTTCCCACTGGAGGAGTTAGTGGTGCTCCAGAGATGCTGCCAGCCCCTGGGACCAACTTATCGTAGGCAACCAGGGGAGCCTCAGGTGTTCCTTTACATTGCCTAATTCAGCCCAGTTCTAAATGTTTTTATCATACCATTTACTTACCATTTCCTTTATGACTTTCTCTCATTCTTACTGTTCTCAGGCTTGGGAAAGTCTTTCCTGTGCCATCTGTTCAATCATCTTTAAGTTCTTTCTAAAATGAAGATGTTCATTTCTCTGACCCGACTAGACTTAGTTCTGGCATATAATCTATGTAAATATTTTCTCAAGCAGCCCTTTCTCTCACATGATCCCTCACTTGACCTAAGATTCCTAAATCCAGTTCTCTGTACACACTAAGGACTGCTGCAGGGCTCTTGTCCTGTCAGCAGTCAGGATACCCAATTACAGCTGGGCTTATAGCTCCTATGGATATTCTTAGCACATTGTCCTACAGACATCTGCTTGCACTTTTCTATTGTGACAGGCCCTCTGATGGGTGGAGAGGTTCATCTTGCCTCACCTCAGAGAACAACCACTGTCCCACTCCAGATTAGTTCTGGAAAGAGCCTGTGTATTCTCTCAGAATAAGAATGGGGTCTTATTCTGTGTGTCCTTGGACCCTTGATTCCAGATCAAAGGAATAAAACTGAATACCAACCTTAGTGTTAAATGTAACCTGTGATGCCTGTCCTGGAGCAGATCTTTGACAATGAATGTTCCAGAGCCCAGTAAATACATCTGAGGAAGAGGAGGGAGATGCAGCATAAGCATACTTGTTTTGCCTCTGGTCAAATTTTTGTGGCCCATGGGAGTCTGGTTAGTTCTCACCATATCTCCCACCTTCCTCTCAGAAATGCAATAGGCATGCTCAGAAAAGAATTCCCCAAGACAAATACGTTTATAGGCATGAGTTAATTTGTGAGCCAATAGTAAAATAACTCTTGTGATCAATTCTCACTCAAATTATTGCATATCTGTAGAGAAAAAAAGTCCCATGAACCCCGTGTTACTTAACTGTTCCCTGAGATCTATCTTTGACGTCATACACAGATAGTTTGATTTGTGTCATCTGATTGATAAGTGAGTCTTGAAAGAAGGCAATACTGCTTAGAAATATAGGATTGTTGGTTCCCTAGAATAGAAAAGAATATTATCAGAGCTAGATTTTTTAAGTAATTGTTTTTTAAATATACTAACATTTTAAGAATGAGCAACCAACACTTTTACTTGTTTGGTATCTAAATGCTAATGGTGGCGTAAGTGAATACATATAAGCAAAAACCTTTCCAAAAGAGGAAAATGTAGTCTGACCTAGCATGTTACAGACCCAGACACAACCAATAGGCTCACTACATGAGTTGTGCTGGGACTCATTTCTAAGGGCTTCATACAAGAAAGAAAAACTTTCTAAAACTGAAATGTTTTTAAGATCCAAGAATGTTCTTAGTATTACAACTTTGTAAATTATATATTTGGACCTACAACTTGGGACTGTTAATTTAAGATGTACAAACAATCACATAGAAGAGGAATGAATGGCCTAAGTTGCTTATTTCTAGAACCCTATGCTTGGAATAATTAAAGCTGACTTTTTAGAAGTTATCCAGGACCAGCTGCTAGTTTCCAGATCATAGATAGCTATTTCTTGGTAGCATAGCCTTGCCCACAAATTCCTTAATATGTATATACCCCTTCTCAAGAGTAATGGTTACTTGGTCAGGTTTGAATCTATTATAATGTCTCTGACTGGGAGCTCCCAACAACATAAGATGTAGTGTCTCAATGTCTGCTGGACAGCGCCACCTGGGGGAGGGGAAGATTGCTGGGGTCTCCCTTGACTCAACAGCTCTCCCTAATACATCCCTGGTGAAGGCTGCCTCTGACTACCCAGGCAGAATAAAAATCCTGGCTTACATTTTGGTGCCATCTCTACCATGTCTGTAATCACACATTCTTATTTCTCTTGCAGGTATTATCTATAAATAGCATATCATCTTCAGAGAAAATGACCAAACAGGTGAATATACAAAAATAAATACTCTGCTAAGAATCTGGAAACTGGAAAAGCAAAGGAATTGAGGAAAATTGTTCTTTGGTAATAAACCAGTTGAAAGTTAGTCTTTGAAAACATATATTTCTGTCAAGAAAATGAAGTAGAACAAAGGCTGTTTCATCCAAGATAAAAGTAAACTGAATCCACTAGGACATTCTGAAAATGATATTCTTGGATCTGATTTAGGATTTCAAAAAAGACCTTTTCTCAGTTGTGGACTTGGCCACTGTCCCCGAGCTCTTCAGCTCAAGGCTAGCACTCTACCACTTGAGCCACAGCACTACTTCTGGCTTTTTCTGCTTATGTGGTGCTGAGGAATCAAACCAGGGACTCATGCATGTAAAGCCGAGTACAACTCCAGCTTCCTCCAGGAAAGGATACTAACAGCACCCACCTCAATGATCTCTGTTTGTGCATGCTTTGTCCAGAATGCCTGAGGAGGGGTAGTAACACTCACTGCTACAAAACTATTTGGTTTTCGATCTAGCGATGGAGTATTCAACTCACTGCAAGCTATAAAAGGAAGATGGGGAAAAAATGTCAGTTGTTTTAGACCAAGCTCTACTTAGTTATCAGCTCCAAACAAAATAAAACAAAAGTAACACTCAAAAGGATCAGATAATCAATTTGTCAATTATTGTTGTAGAGAAGTATTTTAAAAAAACTTCCTCCTTTTCCTTCACAAGACAGTTGGACAATCAGTACAGGAGAAGGCTCATTAAGGATGGCTTTCCATGTCCTAGGAATGGAACACAGAACTGGCAGTCTCAGACAGGACTGACTGTATACCCTACAACTGGAACCTTAATAACTAATGGAATTCTACCAAACTAAGCCAAGGGATCACAAAAGTCTAAGACAGCTCTACATGTCTGTGACCTACAGGTAATACAGCTGAGTGTCTGGAGTCCCACAAGCTTTAGTGTGTGGTTGGATGAATGCTAAAATAAATTTAAATTTTTACAGCAAAATAAAGCTTTAAAAGGGTAATTCTAGTTATTCTCCTTCTAAAATTGATATCAAATGCAAAGTTAATAAAAGCTACTTTTCAGAACTAACAATACCTTGTAGAACCAGTTCAGTTAGGAAAATGCATCAAACTTTGAAACAGATTACAAGTCTAAGATATTTCTATCACAGAAGTGTCTCTAGAAAAAAATTATTACATTTCACTAACACACTCCCTAATTATAAAAGACACTATAAAAAAACAAAACCCACTGTCATTAAACTATGAATGTCATCAATAATAAGAAGCTTCCTTATTAAAGAGCCCGGGGCTAACACAACTTTCATTTTTATTGTTTCATTCTTTCAGCTTTTATTGTTTCAAAGTATCTTTACTGTACCAGAATTTCCAAGGATATTTCCTCTAAGTAATTATTTTCTGTAAGACCTTTAAATATATTGTCTCTAGATTTCTATCTGTTCTTTTATAAAACCACAAGTCAGTCTAAAATTAGTGCTACTAGAAGGGGGTGTGTGTGTGTGTGTGTGTGTGTGTGTGTGTGTGTGTGTGTGTGTGTGTGTGTGTGTGTGTGTGTGTGTGTGTGTGTGTGTGTGTGTGTGTGTGTGTGTGTGTGTGTGTGTGTGTGTGTGTGTGTGTGTGTGTGTGTGTGTGTGTGTGTGTGTGTGTGTGTGTGTGTGTTTCCTGTTTCACTATGTAGTATCTAGGAACATTTTATTAACTTTTCTGGTTCTTTGTTTCTTCTTGAGCACAAAATTAATTAAATTAATGCATTGGATAGTCTCATGTTTATTTTATTGTTTCCTCTTTCTCTTTGTCTCCTCTGCCTCACCTTCCCTTCCTCCCTCTCCATTTTTTTTATTAACTTGTATCTAAAAATTATCAGATTTCTTGTGTCAGAGAGAACAACAAAGGAGGGGGTAACACTGCCCAACAAGAAATGTACTCACTACCTTACTCATGTAACTGTAACCCCTCTGTACAGCATCTTTACAATAGATCCATACAGATTTTTAACTTGTAATTTATTTTTAATCCCAAAGTATCTATTTGATACTTTTATGGTTTCAAGTTCTCCAGTGAAATAGTCAATATCTATTTTTAGTTTTTGTGCTGGTCCTGAAGCTTGAACTCAGGGCCTGGTCACTGTCCCTGAATTTTTTTTGCTCAAGGCTAGCACTTTACCACTTGAGCTACAGCTCCAATTCTAGCCTTTTTGGTGGTTCACTGGAGGTAAGAGTCTCATGAGCTTTCCTGTGCAGGATGGCTTTGAACCACAATCATCAAATCTCAACCTCTTAAATAGCTAGGATAACAGGTTTGAGTCACCAGTGCCCCACTGATATCTTTATTCCCCTTTAGCACAACGTTACAGACTGTATGTACCTCTCCCCCCCAAAAAAATGCATTAAAATCTTAACTCTCAGTGTGATAATACTAGGAAGTAAGGCCTTGGGGACAAGTAGGTCATCAAAGTAGAGGTCTCATGATGGGATTGATACCTTTAAAGAAGAAACAAGAGTACTTGCTCCCTCTGTTCTGCTCTCTGCAACATGTAGATACAACATGACAGCTATCTGCAAAGACAGCAAGCCAGCTCTCACTAGATACTATATCTGCTGGCACCTTGACCTTGAATTCCCAGACTCCAGAACTGTGAGAAATAAATTTCTGCTGTGGAAGCTACCCCATCTATAATCTGTTACAGTAGCCCACACATTAAAACACAGAAAATAGTTATTTTAGCATCTGGAGCTAAATTAACTCTAATATCCAGAGCACCCTTTGCATTTGTACTGCTTGTTATTTCTCTTCATGTTTCTTATCTCCTCATATTTATAGATCTGTGCTTAATAGAACACTTGAAAAACTGTTTAGTCAGGCACCAGTTGCCTGCATCTCAGGAACCTGAGACCTGGAGGATCACAGTTCAAAGCCAAACTGGGCAAAAACTTCTGTGAGACTCCACCTCCAATTAAGCAGAAAAAAGAGAAAAGGAAAAAAAAAGCCAGGTTGTTCAGTGTGGCTTAAGTGGGAGAGCACAGCTGAGCAAGGAACTTGAGCAAACGAAAAGCCCTGAGTTTGATCCCAGTACCAAGGGGGAAAAATGTTTTTGGAAACTAGATGAGGCCTAGACTGATGCTGTCTTTCTCCTGGTTCTAAGCAGCTCTGGCACTCTAGGGTACCTTCATTTATTTCAAGACTAGGATAACTTGAAGTCCCTATGATCATCTGATTCTTCTTCCCTCTATTCTAAAAGTGCATCCTTCTGGATTTTAAATATACGGGAAAGTTGAGGCATCAAGCATTGTAATCTGATGAAACAATGCTTTTAGTACTGTACAATTACTTTAGTTCTGAGAGGCTGTTTAAAGCACTGCTCAACCTCTGGATCTTTTAGCTCACTCTTGGAAGTCACTATAAGCCCTTGAAAGAATAACTGGGCCTCCAACTACAGATCCTTTACTGTCCTATCAGCTCTCTGGAAACTAAGGTCAAGGTATTCCTTAGATTTTACTTCTTTTTTAAGCTATCTTTAAAGGTGAGATTTTATTTTTGCCTATCTGTTTTTTACTCAGAAGCATGTAAGTTTTTTCTTCCTGAGAACGCTGAAGTTTCACAAGAAGAAGGCTAGCTGCTGGTAAACCCATTGGGTCTTAAATATACCCTTCTCTTGGAAAAGATTCTTCTGTTACTTTGAGCCTGTAGCCCCTCTTTCTGTCTACTCTTCTGGGTCTCCTAGCAATCAAACAGTATAATGTCAGGTTGTGTCACAACTTTTCACTCACAATTTCTGGTTCTTGATGTCTTATTTTTAAGCTGTGAGACTGTTCCTTCATTTGCCTTTGTGGATTTATAAGGTGTTTTTTTTTCCAACAGATTACCATGGCTTTTTTTAATGACTACTATTAAGACATAGTCAATTACTATAAAATTCACACAATGTGTATAATTTAGGAGTTTATAGTCATGTAACCATTACCACTACCTACACTTACTTAACATTAATGCTTCAAAAGAAAAAAAATCCATATCCATTAACAATATTCATCATCTCTCATCCCTAATCCCTTAGAAACCACTAATCTCTTTCTGTATAGATCTATCTTGTCTACTTTGGAAGTTTTATATAAATGGAATCATGCAATATATTGCCTTTTGTGTCTAGCCTTTTCCATTTGGCCTATTTTCAAGTCTCACCCATGCTATTGCAAGTTCCAGTACTTCATTCTTTTTTACTGATGAATAATGAACATATTGTGTATTGTTTATCCATTCAACTGGTAGGTATTTTGATTGTTCCCACAATTTATTATGAATAATGCTTATGTAAACATTAGTTTTTGTGAGGACGTATGTCTTCATCTCTTATATTTTAAGGGAATGTTTTCTGGATATAAAATTCCTTGTACTATCTTTTTCTTTCAGGAATTCCAACATCATCTTACTGTCTTCTAAACATAATACTTCTGGTGAGAAATACCCATTACTCCTATTGGAGATGACTTGTGCATAGGAATTCACTTCTCTCTTGCTTGTTAAAATCTGTCTTTGGCTTTTAATGGTTTAATTATGTTGTGTCCAGCTCTGGACATGTCTCTCTGGAGTTTATCATTCTTGGAATTCATTAGGGTCTTTGGAAATACTTTCCATTAATGTGGAAAGTTTTTGGCTATTATTTCTTCAAATATTTTCTCCCCTTTCTTTTTCCTCTCCTAAAACTCCCATTAATCCTAAATTGGTGTATTTGATGGTGTCCAACTAATCTTTCAAGCTGTTCTTTTTTCTTCATTCTTTTTTCCTTATGTTCTTAAGCTAAATCATCTCAACTGAACTCGTGTTTTTAAGAATACTGATTCTTTTTCTGTCTGCAGTTGAGCCCCACTTAATGAAGCTTACACTTCAGTTATACTTTTGTACTCCAGACTTTAGTTCTTTTTATTAATTCTGTTTCTTCACTGATATTCATATGACTCAATAATACTCTTCATTGGTAGTGATTATTATTTACTAATTTGGTTCCTTAGAAATGATTTTGTCTTTGAGCATTGTTTTTAAATAGCTGGTTTAAAATCTTAGTCTAGAAAGACAAACATTTCCTTGAGGACACTTCTTACTATGAGTTGTTTTTGTTTTAAATTTTCCTGTGTATGACATACCGTATCTCCTTGTGCCAGTCCTCAGGCTTGAACTCAGGGCATGGGTACTGTTCTTTAGCTTTTTTGCTTAAGGGTAGCATTCTGCCACTACTTGATTTACAGCTCCACTTCCAGCTATTTGGTGTTTAATTGGAGATAAGAGTCTCACAGATTTTCCTGCTCTGCTGGCCTCAAACCACAATCCTCAGATCTGTCTCTTCAGTAGCTAGGGTTAGAGGTGTGTCACCAACACCTGATGGACCTTTGATATTTTGTGATAAAGCTTTTGCTAGGAATCTCTGTGTGCACATCGGGGCATATGGTCAATGTTCAGGCAGGCGGGTTATAACAGATTGTCTTCGCTGCCTGCTTATGCTAAGTCTAAAGATTGATTTCTTATAGCATTTTCAGGTCTTCCCTGAGAACATACATAGCCCTGAACATGAGTACAGCCCCATACATGTGCTGGCATCCATGAACATATCAGAGATTTCCAAAGTTTCTGGTGGAATACCATTCTCACCTTTCTTTTTAAGTTGTGGAGTTGTGGTTATTGCCTTTTTGAAAGAAGAAGTTTGTTTCTTATTTGCCTCAAGTGTTAATACTGACACAATTAGCTGCAAGGTTGTAGTATTTTTTCCTTTAATGCCAATGATTTGTTGTTGTTAGATACAGTGTTAGACACCAAACGAGGGCCTCACTTATAATAAACATAATAAACAAATTGCCGAGCTACACCCTCAGCCCTGGTCACTGTTTTTTATAAACACATTTGGGGAAAAAAGCTGTTCCCAGTGAGTATTTACTGAACTAGGGCAATTAAGACCAAATCCTACAAGTGAGGTTTTTAGGGAATAGTCAGGCCATCAAATAATGATAATTCCCTAAGAATGAGGCTTTGTAGGATATCTCCATTCTGTCTCCCAGTGATTTCTAGGCTACTGGTTTTCACTGAGATTTCAGGTGATCAAAGAGTAGAAAGACAAATACCATTTTAAAGGCCAATAGTCCCAAGCCTAGTTTCCAATTACCTGTATCCTTTCTACAAGTGACATTTTCTCTGGTTTCATTCATCTGCCCCTAGCCTACCTAAGTCTCACTCCATGTTTAATTACTAGCCAAATGCTAACTAATAGGCTCTCCCACATTTTTCTTTCACCTGGCATGTTCTATATCAACGTACATGTGTAGCCTCCTGACTAGAGGCATATGCCTGTCAGAGTAAGGATGACAGCAGAGTTAAGGAGTAGAAGCTTGTTGGTCAAATAAGACAAACTTTTTGTCTGACCAGTTATCTCTAATTTAATGTGTTGATGACCCCAGAGAAGGACTAGAGTTGAGTCTTGGGAATAAGGTCCTCTGCAGTCAGCTTACTATCTAGAAACAAATTATCCAAGTCTTTCTTAGGGAATGGAGTTTGATTGCTTTCATCTTTGTCTCTGGAGCAAGCAGTAGAGCTCCTACATAGCAATGAGAAAAGTGGTTATACGAGGTCCCGTGGCAGCTTGAAGCTATCCTACTGATTTGGCACTGTGTACTACAGTCTCAGTTACTTAACTCCTCAGAGGTACCTCTTTTATGCCACTCCACCTCATGGACATTATTGCCAGGCTACCAGTCAATCCTGATCATTACCAAGGTTCAGGGGTTGGGAAGGAAGAAGAGCAGGGGATAGTGTGAACTCTGGAAGATAAGGTCTCCAGACTCCTAAGTAGAACTCAGCAATGTCATGAACCCTGCATGGTAAAATCCTCTCATTTGATCCTCACTGAAAGGGATAGCACATAGATGTCATCTTCTTCTTCTACAGAGGGGAATCTAAGGGCTACAGAGCTAAACCTTTTTTTGGGTGGTGAGCGGGGGGGGGGGGGGGGGGGGGCGGGGGGGATTACTTGTACACACTGAGGTTAAACTCTGGCCTTGTGCTCTCACTCAGCTTTTTCGCTCATGACTAGTTCTGTACCACTTTAATCACAACTCCAGCCCAGCTTTTTTTGCTGGTTAATTAGAGAAAGAGTTTCTTGATTTTTTTCTGTATACTGGCTTTGAGCCTTGATTGTAAGCAGCTACAATCATGAGTGGGCCACTGGTGCCTGATTAGAAAGCTAAATTCTTACCATCAGAGAGCACAAAGCAGAGCAAGAAGCCCATTTTTCCCAATCTTTCCTCAAGAATAAAGCAGGCTCTCTGGTGGCTCTGGGTGGGCTAACTGGCCACTGCAGAGCTAAAAGGAAAGTAGGCCCGTTGAATAAACAGGAGCTCTGTGGGCTCTGTGTCCTTCAAGGTTCTTTCCTGCCCACAGGAAGTTCACAGCCGCATCTTCTCAGAAATACTTCAGCAGTAGCAGCATCAAGTTGTCAGAGACAAACTCATACCAATGGTAGGGTTTATGTTTTTCCTCTTAAACAGCATATTTTTTAAACAAAAGCAAAAGTAAGGTACCTACCTAAGCTGAATTCTAAAATGGGTTCATCTGGATCTTGTATATTTCCTGAAGAAAACAGAAACAACAGAATTTCATTCTCAATAAACTTTTTTTTCTACTTTGTTTTTAGTGCAAAAAAACCCAACAACTCTACTTTATTCCTCTCCCACTCCAAATTACAACAGCCTTTCACATATTTTTAATCTGTTTTTTCTTTCTTTCTTTCTTTCCTTCCTTCTTTCTTTCTTTTCTTTCTTTCTTTCTTTTTTTGAGGCAGGTTCTCCCTATGTAACCCACACTCTCCAGAACTCACTACATAGTTAAGGCTGGTCTTGAGTTCACAATCTTCCACCCTTAGCCTCCCAAATGCTGGGATTACAATCATACACAACCATACTCAGCTTGACTTCTACATTTTCAACATATTGCTTCTGAGATTCCAAAGATGTCTCAGACCCAAAGAACAAACCCATTCCTTCTCAGTTCTACAGGCCTTACAGTATGGAGGGCTTTTTTCACACAGGCACAGTGGATATTCCTATATCACCTATTGGCAGGTAAGTCCAGAAGTGCTCACCTAAACTAACTAGCTGCAATCAGATTCCAACACACCAGTTTGCAGAAAGAGAGAGGCTTTCCTCTCCCAATTTCCTAGTTCAACTAGTAGGATGCCACATCAGGGCATGCTGCTTCTATCTGTCCACTGGGTAATCTAGGCTAGACTCTCCCAGGATTGCTACAGTGTAGAACTTTCATGCTGAGAGCTTGTACCAGGAGCCTGGTACAGGCCCTGTGAGGCTCACCTGCCAGAGAGAGGCCCAGCATGTCAGCTGCCACATCAATAGTAGATGCCCGCTGCATTGCACGGGCCCTGGCACCATGGCGAGGGCTGTGCTCTCTTGCTGTCATGATGTCATTGGTAATGATGTGTTTCTTGCTTCTGGGTCAAACCACATCAGATTCCCTGGCAAGTGCTGTTAGTAAACCCAAGTTTCCTAAGGTGGCAGTAACCCTACAAAATAGAATCAAATACTGGTAAGAAGCCAAGGATGATGACTGAGAACACTGTATTCCCATAAAGAAAAAATGTGACCTAATATGGGCAAGATGCTGTGACCATGGTCTTCTGGCAAGAATCTGGGGTGGACTGTCTGCCACTCTGCCCCTTTTTGTTGCTTCTTCTTCCTCACTCCCCAACGTATGCCTGTGGGAATCTCATAAAGCAATCATGCCTTACCACACTTAAGTGATGGACTAAATGTAATAAAAAAAATATGATTTTTTTGAGATTTTTGTTTTACTATGCTCTTCTTTTGGCTAGTCTTAAAAATTTTTTGCAACTTTAAATGAATTCATCACAATCTCTGACAAAAGGACAAGACGTGCATGAAGACATGTACTGCCCACAGGTACCCCAGCATGGCAGAACACCGCAGAGATAAAGTTCATGCTCCTAACCTGCCTGTTCTTCCCTGAGCTACACAAATTTCCTATGTATAGAAGTCTCAGGCTATAATTCCTGCAAAATGTCAAGTGAAGGCACCCAAATGAAGGGGAAGTACTAAGAAAGAGAGGGCATAGTGGGCAAAATAGTATTGAAATCTGAGTTACACTGAGGTTGTCTTGGTGTAGACAGCACTCTCAGAAGTAGGTTAAGCACTAATAGAGGAGTTTCAGGTTTGTCCAATCCTGTGTCCTAAAACTCCTGATAGCTCTAGAAGGAACCAATCTTTACAGGTTAAGATAACAGAGACATTAAAAACACCATCTCAAAGGTCTCTGTATATCCAGAATCACCCCAATCTTCTCCAGGAAAGTCCACAGCTCTGTGCTTGAAGAATCTGGGCTATGGCTCTTAAGTCAATTGATCAAGTAACTTACTGGACATTCCTGCTCCAGGACCATGTGGCATTTCTTCATAGTAGCATGTCCAAATTTATCATCTACAAACAGAAAAGCATAAACTTGATAAGCTGACCAAACATGAAGTTCTCAAAAACACAATGCCTAAAAAAGGTGTGGAGCCAAGAACTACTACTCTATGTTCATTGGAATGCTACACCTTCATCCAACTTTTGGCTCAAACCCAAAAGAATGATAAAGTAGCTCTCTGCTCTTTTCTAGCTCTTTCTCAGCTCTTTCCTTTTCTTCTCTTTCCCAGCTCTCTTCTCTTTCCTAGCTATCTCTTTCCCACCTTTCCCAGACACTCTCTTTTCGAGCTCTTTTCTCTCTTTTCTAGCTCTTTTCTCTCTCTTTCCCAGCTCTCCCAGCTCTCTTTCCCAGGCCTTTCCCCACCATGTGGAGGACCAAGATGGCCTGGTGCCAGCCCGAACGATGAATAAACCTACCCCTTACCTGAAAAAAAAAAAAAAGAATGATAAAGTACACAGTCATCTTCCCTACTTCAGGGTGATTGTTAAGAGAGCATGTGTCTGCTCTAAAGAAACATGTTAACAGATGAGGAAGGTTTAGGGGAAACAAGGTGAAGCAGAGACCTAGCTTTTCCACTCACAAAACTTTGCTTTCTGCAAAGACAAATGTGTAATAACAGGAAGTGCTCTACAGGCTCTGCGAGTACCCCACACACTGCCACTCTGCCTGGGGGACTAGGTGCATTCCTTCAGAGAAGAATGCTCAGGCCCCATTCCCACTCAATCGCAGAACTACAAGGAAGACTCCTGGTTAGCTGGCATCAACCAGACACACACACACGTAAAACTAGGAAAGCACCTGAAGTACTAAAAAGTGCATTTTAGCTGGGCAATGAAGGCTCATACCCATAACCCTTACTACTCAGGAAGCTGAAATCTGAGGATCGTTGTTCTAAAGCTAGCCAGGCAGAAAAATTTGTGAGACTCCTATCTCCAGTTAACTGCTCAGAAAATGTCAGAAGAGGAGCTGTGGCTCAACTGGTAGAGAACTAGACTCAAGAAGAAAACAAAATAAAACAAAACAAAAACTCAGGACAGTGCCCAGGCCCTGAGTTCAAGCCCAGGGCTGGCACCCAAAAAAAAAAGAAGGTGCATTTTAAGGTAATGCTGGCACAAATTAACAAAAATCTCACCGGTAATTCAACTGGAAAATGGTAAGAATTCTGGAGAAAAATATACATGTTAATATTCTTTTAAAAAGAGGCCAAATTCTGGGCTGGGAAGGTGGCTCAGTGGTAGAGCACTTGCCTTGCATGCCTGAGGCCCTGGGTTCGATTCCTCAGCACCACATAAGCAAAAAATTTAAAAAGCTGGAAGTGGTGCTGTGGCTCAAGTGGTAGAGTGCTAGCCTTGAGCTGAAGAGCTAAGGGACAGCACCCAGGCCCAGAGTTCAGGCCCCATGACCGGACCGAAAAAAAAAAAAAAAAAAAGAGGCCAAATTCTATAATAAAGCAATTCTAAATATACTTATCTTCACATAAATTAGTCCTCCAATTAATGCTGGTCTCTTCTTCTAATAAAAATACACATTGCTGGCAGGCATGAGGAAAACTATATAGAGCTCTCTTTTATTTATAATAATATTTTAGAAGTGTGACCACTGTGGATACCTGCAGACTCTACTCAAGCTGCCGACAGATATGAGCTGATGAACTGGTGAACTGAACAACTCAGGGTGCACCCACTAATAGAAATGCATCTTAACTTGACCATAAAACACAGAGAATGTTTACTGCAATGATGATCATAACAGTAAGATCCTAAAGACAATCTAAATGTTCATCAATACTAGATGGATGGAACACCACAGATGAACCTTAGAAACAATGTCATGGGAAAAGCCAGACATAGAAGACCCCATTCTAGGCAAGTCTGCCTGTGGGAAGTGCAGGCAGAGACCAAACAAGTCTGTAATATGAGAAATGAGGAGAGTGGTATTGTGCAGAACTGGGTACACAAGAAGGTTCCTGGATCCAGAAATGTTCTAGAACTGGGTGCTAGGTCTAGGAGTGACTCTGCTGCCTGAAAACATATTGAGCTGTAGACTAGAGGTTTTTGTAGCTCAACAAAAAGTACACTATTTGCTGAACTTTGATTTTGCCTAAGGAATTACACTATTTGAGATCACCCTTGAATCTACCATATTTCAGTTAACACATTATATACACTTGTATACTAAGAAGTGGGTACTCAAAAGGATGAAGTCAAGGGGAAAGGGATAGATGAATGAACAGAAGAAGGAGAAAATGTAGTCAAGAATCCAATGTGTATCCTACAAAATTAGTTATGAAAGGGGTGGGTAGGGGAATGATGGATGAGACTGTTTAAAGGGGTAATGTTGATCTAGATATATTGTATTCATGAATTGCTTTGTTAAATGGCAACTCCTTAGTGCAACTACTTAAAAGTAATAAAAATAACATATGTTGAATTCTTCTGATGACTATAATAAAGTCAATGTTGCATAAACAACTATGTGGCAGTTCTGCATATTTTTAAAATAAAATATCCTTCCTATGCTCTGGTGACACCCATTGAAAGACATGTCAGAATGAAAGAGCCTGCAGGAGGACCACATGACAGGCTGGTCAGATCCAGAGTGTGATCATGGGGATGGTTTCCTGTCTTCCCAATGTTACCCTCATGTTTTCCAGAAGGCTGAACCCATTCTGGGCAGCAGAGGCAGAGCTGTGTGTGACTTAGTGTAAGGAAGGAATTTTTGCCTCTTGGCCTCCTAACAAGTCCACACCACTTGTCTTGCTGCCCAGCTTAGCCCTACAGTATAGGTGCCCAGTCAGCCCTTTCACTTGGAACAACAAGCGTACCATCTAAGGGGAATGACACACTTGTACCCTGAGATCCTGCTCTGGAAGAGGAAGGGGCTCTCAACCCACCCATCTTACCTCTCTTCTCCTCCACTGTTGGGCTCTGCCTAATCTACTGAACTCAACTCTTCCTTCAGGAGTGCAGTTTGTATTGTAGACATCATGATATCATTAGAGATAGAAATGTTTTAAGAGGAGCATCTACAGACCAATTTTGCACTGGTTCATAAGTCACAGAAACTTTTAGGTCAAAAAGATCTTAGCAACCACTACATAGTTATTTGGGACATTTAATTATAATTTGCAAATTAAGTTATGGAGACCCAGAATGAGAAGCTAATTTGCACAGCTGAACTTGATTTCCCTTTTTAGTATCATTAATTTAAGGTAATTCACCAAGGATTCCTATATTCCCAAAGTCCCTATTTTTACTCTCAGTTCTGTTTGAAGATATGAGTTCATTAGGAAGAAGAAAACCTATACTTACATGAAGGACAGAGAATGTATCAGAGTTGTTTTGAGGGCTGGAAGAAAGAAAGCAGTAACATTTCATAAAAACTCACTGTTCAAGCCGGGTGCCGGTGGCTCACGCCTATAATCCTAGCTACTCAGGAGGCTGAGATCTGAGGATTGTGGTTCAAAGCCAGCCTGGGCAGGAAACTCCATGAAACTCTTATCTCCAATAAACCACCAGAAAACCGGAAGTGGCTCTGTAGCTCAAGTAGTAGAGTGCTAGCCTTGAACTGAAGAGTGCAGGGACAGCGCTCAGGCCCAGAGTTCAAGTCCCATGACCGACAAAAACAAAAAACAAAAAAAAACCCTCACTGTTCCTTTCCCTATTCTATGGATACAGGTTGTCTAAGGGATAGCAAATGCTGAGTTCCTACGTGGCAATGGCCATGGTGGCAGAGGAAAGCTTTGAGAGCAGAGAGGTATTAGAATTCATATAGAGAATGGGGTTCACGAGGGGTAGAGAAGCATCTTCTAAGCCAGTCTTGGTAAAGATTTGCCTGCCTTCTTCTTCCATGGTATCTCAGGCTAGGAAGGAGTTCAGAAGGCCCCGGTGCCTCAGCAATCTTTTAGGGGCTGCTGAGCTAGAACTAGGAAGGAGGATGAACCATAAGCACTCTATTTTGGACCATTTTACAAATTGGCATTCTTCCTTTTGATCCATCTTATACACTGATATTCTTCTGAAAATAACTGCACAGCTGAGAGCATGGAAGTACAGACAGTTTTATCAAGGTCATATGGAAGTGAAAAATGAAATATTCAAATCAAAGCAAAGCAAAAAGCCCAAATAGGAACCCAATCCTATTCCCCTCAGTCCCATTGCTGGTCCTGTGTCTGCAAATAGACTAAGAAGCTTCCTCATACCTCAGCTCTCCACACACAAAGGCCAGTACCAGTGGGAGAGAAAGTATCATGAAAGTCCTGAATGAGTCAGTGTGAGTAGCAATCCTGGAAGGATAACTTACTTTAAAAAGGAGAAAGAAAAGGAATTTTCTCTCCAAACTCCAAATCTAGGATAGTTAAAATCACAGATCAATGAAGTATCTGTCACAGCACTCTCTAGCACCAAAAATTACTATAATAACCGAAAAAAGATAAGTGTCCCTTTTTTGCATGAAGCCTTTCTTTTATATATATTTTTTTAATTGTGAAAATACCGTACAGAGGGGTTACAATTTGCGTGAAGCCTTTCTTGTGACAGATCTTTCCTTACAAGGACTCCCCTAACAGACAAGCTCTCTATACTTCACTTCTTTGTGTGGCCATGTAAGATCATCAGGGAACTTGTATCTTGAAAGGGATAGAATTAAACTCTTTACTCCTTCTATATCTTCCCAGATGTCCAATTCAAGCCACACAGAATAGGTGTCTAACACATACCTGTTGAGTTTAAAAAAAAATCACCACTACCTGGACTTACCTATGTCTGAGTTATCCTGCCATTCCTAGGAATGCAGAGAAGTGCTATTCCCTATCTTCTTCCCACATACAACATATAAAAGCTTAATCTGAGTGAGAAATAAGAAGTAACTAGCTTAGTATATGAAGACACGGCTATGGTTTGGGAAGTTTTGTTCTTTAGCATCAATGTTAGTTAAAAGTCTGGCCCATAACAAAGCACTCAGTAAGTGGCTATAATGAATACAACTGATGCATTCTGCACACTGTTTGAGG